GAACACTAAACACAAGTGCATCAGCTCAAGTAGCTGCACCTCACAGTAGTGTAGCGTCACACACTTCCCCAAAATCAATAGCCTAGGGTTTGACGACTTTCGACATTGATGCTGACCTTGATAGTTTAACTGGACTCTCTAAGCTGAAGGCACCCGGTCAAGCATCCTCGCCATTTGGCACGCTGTCGTGTCACGTTGCACTGCTCATATTTGACTCTCTAGCCAGTTAGTTGGAACGCATCGGCATCTTGGCATGACCTTCCAAATATACTATTCCATCCGACTACGCTATCGTGTTCTTCCTTGGTCTCGTATTCGTGGGTATATAACAAGTTCGAATAATTATTGCTTGGTCTTTGCGTCTGTCAAGTTCGCACCAGGACAAATCCTGAATTGGTGAGCCCGACGTGATCACATATCCCGACCAATAACAAGTATTGAATTGGTGAGTCTGTTCCATTTTATATTTGTTTGTTGTTTTCACTTCGATAACATTTATATGTCCATTTACTACACTTTCTCATGTCTGACCACACTCCCAAACCTGTTCTTATTGAGCCGACTACAAACACGATCCAACTCGTGCCATATTGGCCAGACAATGCGGAAACACGGTTTCTGTATGCCGAGGCAGATTTTCGAGAACAGAGTGTCTCAGATCCTCAATCTCGATTTCTTGCTGTCATACGGTCACTACCGCGAGAATTAAACAGGTACGTTACAGCAAACATGTTTAATCCTGAAGTAAGTGACCCTTATGCACTTCTTAAGGCCGCACTCTTGAAGAAAAGCGATCTCACAGATCGGGAACGTCTAGACGAATTACTTCGTAACATCGAGCTGGGCAGCCACTCAGCTACTGAAGTCCTCGCACGCATGCGAGAAGTAATCGGTGCACGAACATTCGACGATGGTTTCTTCCGAGAACTATTTCTCTCAAAACTACCACAACTGGTGCAAACCGTGTTAGTGACACCGCAGCCAGTCCCACTCGATGACCTGGCAGCCTCAGCAGATAAAATACTGGAGATTTCTAGCAGACCCGTCTCCAACGTATATTCTATCTGCGACAAACCAGAGCGCCAGGATTCAGAGGCGATCAAGCTGTACAATTCCGTTAAACAGTTGCTACGGTCTCGAAGTCCTAATTCACGTAGCACTTCACAGAAACGCACCTTGGCGCATCGCAGCAAGTCGCGTGGTAGCCCCAAAACGAAACCCAACAGGGTGGAAAACCCTGAATGGTGCTGGTTTCATAACACTTACGGGGAGGAGGCCAGAAAATGTCGGAAACCACGCAGTTTTAACAAGGATACAAACTCAGTAAACGGTCAAGTCGGCATGTGTTCACTGCAGCCGTAGCCGGCGGAATAAGCCGTTTGCTGTACGTCACGGGTACTCAGACGAAAGTTCGCTACCCCGTCGACACCGGCGCAGAAGTTAGCGTTCTTCCCGCACCAACAAAGGAGCGTCACCATGACCCACCCCTCAATCTCCAAGCCACCAACGGCAAGACAATCGCGACATTTGGGAGACGGTATGCCGACCTCAACTTAGTATAAGTGTAAAACTTGGGCACTGTGGTCGCGTGTAATTTTATTTTGGTCTGTTTATCAGAAGTATCACACGGTGAAGCAGTAGCATTTACTGGATAACATTTCGGACATAATTTATTGTCCATATTCATATCACCTGATATGAATATGAACAATAAATTATGTCCGAAACGTTATCCAGCAAATGCTACCGTTTCACTGCGCCATATTTCTAATAAACAGACTAAAACGGAATTACTTCATTCCAGGTTTGCGCAAACCTATCCACTGGATTTTCCTCCCGGCTGACTTTTCTATGCCCATCATTGGCATAGATTCGCTAAACCATTACGATTTACCCGTAGATGCTCGCCGTCGATGTCTGGTAGGTAACAACACAAAGTTATCTACTGGCGGAAAGAGGAGGGACGATATCAAACTAGACGAAGGTGTACCCGAGGAGGAGCAGTCATCAACCTCTAACTGTCACCGACCCACGAACTGCAGTTGGGTAGTTCACACCCTGTAATCGCCTAAGACCAACAGTCAGAGACTCCATGGACTGGCGCCCAGTCTTGATTTGACCACCCTGAGCGCTCTTTCAACCTAATCCGATTTCTGCTAGCGGTGCACATCGATGTAGGTGGTGGTCCGGCACTCGCGAGCATCTGTGGTAGGTGGCGCGTGACCCATTCTTATATACTCCAGACGCCTGAGAGTTCGACGGCAACTAGCTAGTTGGAGCTGACGCAACTTCCCAAGTATGTGAAGTAGTAAACCCGTTCCATAACTTTAGTCCTTGCCTGTAGTCTGGGAATAGTTGCAAACCAGTCCTGGGCATAATCTTGTGCTTGATAGTTTTGACAACTTTCTGCCTTTACTGCGAACAGCTGCTGCACTGAGGTGTCACAGCCAGTTAAAAATGTGTATATGTCATTTAAAACGATAACTTCATGGCTTACCCCAAGGAACTGGAAGAGAAAAAGCTGTGGTATATAAATTGCTTGTGTATTTGGGATTTGCCAAGAATACACAATTGATTGAAAATTTGTCAGCTTTTCAAAAATTCTAAGGTATTCCTCACAGTGTTGGCCATTTTCCACACCACCAACTTTGGTTGCCAACCGTTGCACCTCCTTATTCATCTGCGGGTGAATTCGCATCGGCTCCGTGCACGGTCTTTGAACTGCGCTCACATGGCACCAGACCTGTGGGAGCTACATCACCTCAACACTACCTTCAGAAATGATACAACACCTTTTCGGTCATAAAGAATTTTGCCATCTTATGAAGAACAACATGCCTGTAAATTGATGGCAACGTATATGATAAGATCGTTTGTCTACAGGGAATTCCTGCTACGAAGAATACAGCACATGAACACGTACAAGGTACGAAGTCAGCCTAGCAAACAGCCCCGTTGTCTCCCATGAAATCTTCTTGGTTAGTGTTAAAGCATGCGTACGCGTTACACAGGTGATTTAATTCTCACACCACTGTACATGCTGCGAACTGCATAATCAGAACAAGTAGGAGCATCAGCGTATTCGAAGAGCCGTATCTATATCTACAGTTACTGGTTATACATTACTTCATGCTTCAACATCGACAGCCACGGCTGAACCGTTTAAAATTTTTTATATATACATTTGTGAAGAAGGTCATTTCTCCGTTTTGGTTGCCGATGCAAACTCCCAACACGATTATTCGTATCGTTACCCAAAGTAAGAATTTTATGTGGGCATCTTGGTGTCCGCAATTCTTTTTTGGCGACCACTTTTGTTGTGGGAATGTGCCAGTAGGATGATCCATGGTACGAATTTGTTGGGTCTGGAAGATTGTCAGAAAGACAAGTGTTGCCCGTTTGCGGGATTAGTCTTGATAATTCGATTAAGGTAAGCCTTCACAGGGGGCTCAAGAGTTTAGGATTCAGTGATGTTGCATAACATTGTATCTCATCTTCCTGCTGAATGCTGTGTCTGCACGACATGCTCGCAGAACAGTCTTGACAAAGGTGACTGAAGATGATGTTATGCCTACAACACATGACATGGATAACTACAACTCACCCAGAAGTTTTTGACAAATGGATTAAATTAAACTATTTTTCCCATTTGGGCATCAGCGCAGTGGAGAGCTCTACCGAAAGCAGTAGCCACAGACTCTTCAGCTGACTCTCTCAGGCTCATGAAGGACAAACAGCCAGGTGCATGCGGCTTGCCAGAAACATGTTTTAGAAAGAAGTGAACACATCGGGCTTGCCAGTCTACAAGTTTGCCACACGTGATATGCTCTGCTGTAAGGGCCTGTCATTAAACCTTCCCAGACACTGGATACCTTTTTTGGGATTTGTCCTGGTGCGAACTTGACAGACGCAAAGACCAAGCAATAATTATTCGAACTTGTTATATACCCACGAATACGAGACCAAGGAAGAACACGATAGCGTAGTCGGATGGAATAGTATATTTGGAAGGTCATGCCAAGATGCCGATGCGTTCCAACTAACTGGCTAGAGAGTCAAATATGAGCAGTGCAACGTGACACGACAGCGTGCCAAATGGCGAGGATGCTTGACCGGGTGCCTTCAGCTTAGAGAGTCCAGTTAAACTATCAAGGTCAGCATCAATGTCGAAAGTCGTCAAACCCTAGGCTATTGATTTTGGGGAAGTGTGTGACGCTACACTTTTAGTGAGAAACCGAGAAGGAACACAACTGAGTGGCTGAATGGGAATCACATATCTGACGAGCACTGCCAATATATGTCTATCTGTTAACCAAGAGGATTGTGAACGAGCGGGACAGAGTGGCACGACACGATACCAAATGATGCAGACGCTTGGTTGTTTGCCTTCACTTGCATAGCCAGTCCATTAGAACAAAAGCGTTAATCATCAGCTTTGGATATCGCTGAATATCAGGCCATTAATCCAAAGGAATAATTTACCTCAACATATGATTGCCCCCCATTGTATCATCCTATCTAAGCGTCCACTCGATCCATCATATCATTCAGCATTGCCAGCAGCATCAGCGAAACTCTTCGTTCGCCTTTTTGATCTTCTTTTGTTCTTCTATCCTCATTTCCTACCAACTCATAACCACAGAATGTTATACAACTTTCAGCTTAGCGCTCTAATAGTTACCTTAAGGTACATAAACAAAAAGGGACCGCAGGAAGCTGATGCACCTCATCAATCGATGCGTAGCTTTTTCAAACGTTCGTTCCAGAAGTTCCAACAAAAAACCTCCAATCAGACAATCACTGCCTCAAAAGCTATTCGCAGGGAAACAGAGGTTTTTATGACTACTGGAATAAGACTGGACTTAGAGAATTTAGGCTCGAGGTTAAGACGTTATGATTACGAAAAAAGTCACTCCAGCACACTCACTGCATCTATTTTGAATTTGGGATATTGTGGTAGTCGAAATATTGCTTATTGAAAGTAACCGGTAATTTAAGTTATGCGCTCCGTTGAGTTGGAAAAGCTGCTGACAAAAGTTAGGGGATATGATTGCATAATACTGGACTCTGCTGCGTTTGAAAAATTCGGTTCGTGTATTTCGTGCTGCGGTTCAAAAGAAGTTTTCCCCTTTAGTGATGTTAATAAGGTAGTCGTCAAAATTATGCTGATCAGAAGTACAGGAGATATATGATAAATCATTTGTTTTCATTGTTTCCTCTCCCTTTACAAACTTTCTTTTGGAGCAGATAACTTCAGTTGTCTGTGACAGTGGGAAAATGACAGGCTGCCTTGTATTATCTACAGTCGAGGCAGTTGGCAACTGTGTGCCTTTCAAGCTGCCTAATGTAGACGAATATCCGGAATGTGAAGTGCAGTATTTGTCAAAAGATGTAATTAGTGTTTTTTTAACTGTTTGGCCTTAGGAAAAGCTGGTTACTTTCAAAGTCGAGTTCGTTTTCAGTACTCCACGTTCTGTATCTCTAAACGTATTCATGCTTCCTACATGCCATACATTACTACCTGTAAGTATGTAAAATATGACAGAAGCATTAAGCAGGGCCTAGAAGATTATTCTGCAACATTTTTTGATATCAATAGCATCCTGTGGTCACTAAAGGTAAGTTCTATTTCTACAGTGTGTCATCAACAGTTGTCCAAATTACTTAAGTGTTTTGTTGCATGAAAATTTGTTTCTTCCTTGTCTCAAAAGAGTAGCAATAAGGCTAAATATCTGGGTTGTGTCAATTTCTGGAGTTGTCAATGTAAATAGACTAGTCTGCTGCATGCAAAGTCTATTTCACCGTATAGCGTAAGGAAAGGATCGACAAGGATGCAAATATAGTAAGACAAAAGAGAGGAAAAAGTCTGTGAACATGTTAACGTTGCTCGATATTTCGGGAAATGTAGGGAATAAATGAATGTACGGCATTTTAACAGATTTTCAGTCATATCATGCCGCCCTTAGCCATTGACTTCTAGCAATTTATGGTTCCCAGGAAATTAGCCTACAGTCATCTGTCATGACCGAAACTAGTGTTTTAGTGACTTTATCTCTTTCCCTGATATATCACTGTATGCGGCAGACCGGCAGACGAGACAAGTATCATCCACTTTCTTCGATGTAGGTTTTTAGTGTCTAACATCTCTGCCTAGAATACAGGTAAAATCAACGTAGAACCTCGCACACAAGTGCATCGCCTCACGTTGCCACACTTCACGATAGTATATAAAAAACAGGTGAATAGAAAAGGAGTAATATCAAAGTAGTTTGAGGGGATAAACGGTTTGATGATGCTATTTTAGGGAATACGTCTACGCCACTATGACCATCAAGAGTCGTCAACCACGGATTCCTATCGTCTCATGAAACCCAACCAAGCAATCTACATCTCAAGACAAGAGTCAAAACTTCATAGATTTATCCCACTTCTTGTTCTGGTCACCCTTCTCTCTCTTCCAACTTAATCCAACTTCTAGCATGCTAAGTTGAAGTAGGTGGTGGCTCAGCACGCGCAGTACATATCCAGGCCATCTCAGTCGACTAAGGTTCACAACCTCATCACCCGACTTGCCTTTCTTGCATATTACCCTTCGCCTGACCTGGACATTGCTCACACAATGATTTTACCGCACGCGAGCAATGGTACCAATACACCTTTGGTCGAAACCGTGAAACCGCTTCATATCTACTTTTAACGGTCATGTCTTACAGTCGTATAACAGGACAAAACAAAATTCAGCTCAGTGTACTCATCCTTTGTTAGTAGTTGAGTATCTCACTGGTGCCACAGATGACGCAAGTTGGCAAACGGGCCTTCTGTATCCAAGCTGAGACTTCGTCAGAACCAGTCCATTCGGGCTGATACAACCCCACAAGTAAGTGTAGTGGTTGTCACATTCCACCATTCTGCTCTGTATCGTTGAACTGGGGGTAGTTGCGGTTCATTCCCGTAGCATTATCTTACATTTGACAGGTGCCAGCAAAACGCATGCCGAACACCAGATTTCTGCTCAAGGCGCTCACAAAACCCTGCGTTTTGTTAGCCTCTTTATCTAGCAGAACAATATCGTCTGCATACACCATCACCAAGATGACCTTCAGGAATAAGGTTAATCCCTGTTTAGTCAGACCTACCTAACAATGTGTCCATTTGTACGCTTATAACGAGGTTAAATGAAAAGAGTTACAGTGGATATCCCTGGCGGACATCATTAATTATCATTACTTCTGTTGATAACATAACCAAGATCATCCACCTCAGATCTTGGTTGCGTTGCGTTCTCTGAGCTGAGTGGTTTAATCGTGAAGCTTTCTAGACGACATCATTAACTTCAATATGAAATTAGTGCTGATGAAAGCACCTAACTCAGAGAACGCAACACAACCTAGAGGTATTTTTTGTTCCTGTTGAAACCTTGTCAGCAACCAGCGCAATATGGTTGATTCAGCTGCCTGAGATAAGTGGGTTGATCAACTATTTTAACCACTTCGTGACGTACTCTTAAAATAGGAGTCATTGTAGAATATTCCTGAAGGATCTTACACTTGGTGGATGCAAAAAATTGCAAACATACTGAGGTTCATTATTCTTAAGCGTTGTCGTAAACTGCTCTGGGTAGCTAGCATTCAATCACTATTATTGGTTCAACTTATTATCTCCATGCAGGCCTTCGTTACAAACAGTGAAGTGCATCTGTTCAGTACATATCAATGGTACTACTCGACGATACTCACTTATGTTGTTGAACTACACTGAAACATGACCAGATAATTAGGATTCAAATGCTTAAACTATTCAGTTATGACTTTCTATCCACTATAATTAAGAATCATTCCAATGCACATATGTGTGTGTGGTTACCCAGTTATGTCTTATTTTCAAATCAAAATGCTTGCATGGAGGTCCACTTAGATTACCTTAATGCGAACATGATAAAACGGGTATTCACACAAAATTCGAATAATCGATAGGTACCTCTTAATGGTCATCATCATCATCATCATTATCAACATAGGACCAGGCATTACTGCGTAACGGTCCGAGTTGCCACACCTCATATCACCACATCAAGTAGAAAGGTAGTGAGGTGAAGGATGAAGATAAGTGAATGCAGTCAAAAGAAATATAAAGTACGAGAAGAAAGGAAAAAGGAGTGACAAAATGGTGAGATTCGGTATAGCGTTGTTAAGATGAGGATAATGTGTGTATACATCTGCGCCACTGACTTCGGTTCTGAGCCATATCACCTAGAGTCTCCAACCACTGGTTCCTCTTGTTCCGCGGACCCCAACCACCTAGTCTGCATCGTCCTACATGGCTTAAACCAACAGTCAGAGACTTCATACATTGGTGCCATGTTTTAGTCTGGCCACCTCGGGCCTTTTTCCAGCCTGGACCCACCTCAGCCAACATTGTGTGACGAGGCAATCGGTGACTAGGCATACGTAGTACGTGTCCCAACCATCTCAGTCGATGAAGGTTCACAACCTCGTCAACTGACTTACCTCTTCTCCCTAAAACTACACACTTTGACTTCTGGGTTACTCACATGGTGACACCACGGAATACGTCCTATACTACGAAGGCGGTGGTGGTCAAACACTTGAAGCCTTCTCATGTTCTCCACTTTCAATGGCCATGTTTCACAGCCATACAGTAGAACAGAGCGGACTGCTGTGCAGTACACGCGACCCTTAATAGACAAACGAATATCACGGCGGCGCCATAGGTGGCGCAAATTGGCAAAAGCCAATCGAGCCTTTTGTATCCGTGCAGAAATCTCATCGGCAACTAACCCACCAGGGTTGATCCTACTTCCCAGGTAAGTGAAGTGGTCAACACACTCAACCACTTCACTCTCTATTGTTAACCGCGGTACCGCTGAAGACCAGTCCTGGAGCAAAAATTTGCATTTGGGTGGTGAAAATCGCATCCCAAACATTCTCAAATTCCCACTCAAAGTGTTCAGAAGACTCTGCATCTTGTCAGCGTCTTCACCTAACAGGACTATGTCATCTGCATATTCTAGATCTAAAGAAAATTCACCTGTGATCCGGTCAACGTCTTTGTAATTAGGTGACGAGAGGGAAACCTCCATAAGAATATCTATGATAAAATTAAATAAGAATGGGGATAGTGGGCATCCTTGACGGACACCACTTGATGAGTATAGCTCCCTGGACAACTCACCATAGGCTCTAACATGCCCACAAGTGTTCGAGTAGAGAGCTTTCAATAAGGTGATGTACTTACTAGGCACGCCTTTCAGTGACAGACACTGCCATAAGACTTCTCGATCAACGGAGTCAAATGCCGCCTTCAGGTCGAGAAATACAGCTATTGTCGGGCGTCTGTAAGCATGCCTATGTTCCAGGACCTGGCGCAGTGTGAATATTTGGTCGATACATCCACGGCCAGGTCTAAAGCCTGCCTGGTTTTCTCGGGCTTGCTGTTCCCGAGCTCCACTCAGGCGTCGGAGAATTATAGAACTTAGGATCTTAGACACTATGTTTGTCAGGCTGATTCCTCTGTGGTTATCACAAGAGGACTTCTCGCCTTTCTTGAAGACTGGGATGATCAGTGACTTAGACCAGTCGGAGGGGATCGTATTTGATTCCCATATACTGGCTAACACTTCCGTTAGCCTGACTAAGAGAACTCTACCACCATTCTTGTATACCTCAGCAGGTAGTCCGTCTGGTCCTGCTGCCCTTCCCGTTTCAGGCTACCTACCGCTTTCTCAACTTCTTCTAGTGTTGGGGGACCTGTCTCTATGTCCCATTCAGGGTCCGACTGGATAGCGGGCAGCGCAATGGTGGCTGGAGGCCAGTTAAACTGTTCCTCAAAGTGTTCTGCCCATCGTCCCAGTCGCCTTCCCTGCGAGTGAATCGCAGATCCGTCCTTCTCCGCTATAACCTCACTAACTGTTGTTGACCATTTCCCCCAGTCTCCTTAATAAGTCTAAATAACTGTCTACTGTTACCGATCGCCGCTGCCTTTTCCATCTCTTTAGCCTTTGCTGCCCACCACTGTTCACGATCGTTGCGCAGACTTTTCGTCAGTTATTTTTAAGTTGCGCTCGCTCTTCATTGTACTCAGAGCCTGCAGGGATGCATTCACGTGCATCCATTAGTTTGGAAGAAGCTGCTGATATCCACTGGCTCTTTTTAGCCATTATCTTGGAGTCGGCTACAGTCTCCAGTGCTGCTTTTACAGTAGACTGAAGATGGCACCAAGCTTCTTCTGGATGAGTGACAGTCTTTTGTTCCGATAACTGCCTAGCCAACTTCTCACTGAACACGGCTTTGGTGTTTTCGTTGTCCAGCAGAACTCGTAGTGGTTTTGTTGCCAAATTTTTTCTACGTCCATTGAGACGCAGGCATATACGTGCTCGGACCAACGCATGATCGCTGTCCAAACACGTACTCCAGAAGGAGCGGCAGTCTTCCACCGATCCTCTCCAGCGATGACTAATAGCAATGTGGTCTATCTGTGTCCATCGCTGAGTCGAGCTCGGTGGACGCCAGGTCAGACAGTGCCTTTCTTTATGTCTGAAATTTGTGCTGGCTAAAAATAGGCGGTTATCTGAGCATAGTTGTAATAGGCGATCACCGTTATCTGTACGTTCAGCTGGGATTCCGAAAGTGCCACCTAAGTGCCTTTCTGCCTCACTCAGTCTACCCACCTGTGCGTTGAGGTCACCTGCAACAACCACTACGTCCGAACGTTTGGCTTTCGAGAGGAGGTTAGACAGTTTATGGTAGAACTCGTCCTTCACTTCATCCGAACTGCAGTCAGTGGGTGCGTAAGCAGAGATTACAAAGAGACAACGGCGAGTCTCACTATTCCTTTTAGTTCTCACTGTGCCGTTCAGCCTCATAGCGCAGAGGCGACTATCAACTGGGATCCAGTCTAGTAGTGAGTTTTCTGCCCTGGTGCTTAATGCTATACCTACACCTGCAAGACCACGAGAGCTAGCTATCGAATCTCCAGAAACTCGAAGGGTGAATTTTGCAGATTCACCAGATTGGTCAGGAGAGGTCAGGTGAATAACCACACTTGGGTCCTGTATGCGTGTCTCACAAACACAGCACACATCCATGCCCGAGTTGCTAGAGTCTTTGCCAACGAAGCCTGTTGGCCAATTTGACGGAGGGTGCGGACATTGAAGGCTCCAATATGTAATTTGGAGCGTGGTTTAAGGAGACCAGGGATGCTGTTCTGTGGACTCAGATCGTTGTCGAAGGCTGCAGAGGTAGGAGAAATTGAAGATGATGCAGCATCATTAATTAAGAGACGTGAAGGAAGATTAGAAGGTAATGATGGAGGAGGAGGATAGCAGTCAGAAGAAACTTGGGTGCTGACAGAGTTGTGAGGGCGGTTGACACTTCCCGGCTGCCCACACCGTGGAAGGCTATTTCTTCTTAAGGTACCTGAAAGAGATTTGTGTGACCGCAGAGCCCATCGGACATCTGCTTGAGGCCTGTCACACCCAGCCTTTTGAGTATGATTATTTTGAACTTTTGTATTTTTGGGGCCGGATGGTCGAAAGGAAACGACAAGTGAACCAACACCGCCGGCCCGGCAGACCGTGGGGCGTGGTGGAGTGTGTTATTTTTGGGGCCGACCTTTTCTAACCCCCCCTTCCACTGAGAAGGCAGCATCAGCATGGCACTGCTGGTCATCCAAGGGAAACACCTTACTGCTGTCACACCCCATCCAGCTAGCAGCAGTACGACTTCGCCCTCAGACCCCCATCATAGTGTAGCAATTTACACTATAACGGTAACTGCTTTTCGTCTAACCACTACCCAACAGACCTTTCTGGTATGGTAGGACCTCGAGGGAACAAGCGTTCCACCAGCATAGCTCGTTGGGTCATTGTGATATGCAAGCCCGACCACCAAGTCAAGGTAGCAGCTATCGGTCGGGGGATAGTATTTTATTGACTTACTGTTCAAATTATTACATTTCAACTCAATATGATATTCAGCACTCGAGAAACTTCATTTTTTAAAAACTTTATCATCCAGTAAGCATAGTTCTGTTCGTGAATATCATATTTTGACCAGTAAACTTACCAGTAGTTCCCACAGTAAAGTGGTAAATTTAAGCAGTTCGTGAAAGCATTCGGTTTTGAGACTATTTAGTCAAAGCGAATATAACAAGTCTTCATATAGGTCACATTTTAAAGTGATACTCACTGATTATTTTATAAGCTGCGAATATGAGTGAGGTAAAAATAAGTTCCTCAGAATAGCATTTCCGAGTATGTGAAAAGGATGAACCTAAATGTCCCATGTCTTAGCTCACTTTCTATCTAAAAAAGTCGGCATTCTTTAAAACAGAGTTTGGAAGTTCGTTTAACTGACAGTCTCACCGAAGTAACGTAACTGAAAGATATACCAATCCTCGTACATCACATATACTGGGTAGTTATGAGCTTTTCACATCACTGGTTTTACACTTTTCTCCTTAACAGGGTTTTTAAACACAAGTTTTGGGAAACTCAGTCCCATATATAGCTACTTAGCTCGTTTCAATGCTCTTTGTCTACTATTTCAGCCAGGACTAACTGATTATATCATAGTCTCGCATTTTTGGTGTTGATCATCGCTTAGTATACAAATCTGTACATGACTTTTGTGTTATAATTGTGTATTTTGGTTTAATCATACAATAGCCAGCCTGTCCAGCATTACATAAGGTTTTCCATTATAGGTTTTGGAAGAGGTCTATTCATTCGGTAAAATTAGTAGCAAAGTGACTGCACAGTTTGCTGAGTTTCCTGCCGCAATCAATAGAAGGAAGGTAAGTGAAGTTTCCCACGACATGCTGTGTTCACACCTCGCCGTCTTAAAATATATTCAAACCTGAATTTCATGTTCGCTTCCTCTTACAGACTATCATTTTAATTATGTCACCAAGGCTGTATGCTGTAGTTTACTTGTCTGTTCTATATTTTCTTTCTGTGTTGCTTTTACTTCCTCTTTCAACATGTTGAAGGCTACAGCTAGTGAGAGACTTGATATAATCAATTTCATTTTCAGCTAGTGTTGACAAAGTTTTTTGAACACGCTAACATTATCTTACGCCTGTTACTATGTATGTAAGACTCTACAGCAGCTGTGGTGTATTACTCTGCGCATTCGTTTCGAACCCAGGTCCAGTTATCAAGGTTTGAACTGCCAGTTTGTATCATTAGCCCTCACATAATAGGTGTGGTCCATTGCCAGCTGTACGCAAGTGCACAAGGTTTCTGAGTAGATTTTGAGAGAAACTACTGCGCGTTGAGTAAGGAGATCATCGACGGTGAGCAATACATGTTTCATTACATCGATCTTGTGAAGCCATCTCAATTACCTGGCTATCTGGTATCAGCTTCACAATTTAGAGAGAAACAACATTGTATTTTTATGCGATATCTTTTTCTAAATCTTTGCTGTATGTGTCTCAGATTCCAATTACTATTGTCACTTATATTTCATCGGGGAAAATAATCCTTGCAGTCTTGTTCCTTTCATTTTCTAGTTATCATTTTTCTTGGTTCATGCTGCTTGTCTTTCTTGGTAACATATCCCGGTGTATTTTTTCCTACCATCCCGTTATTTAATGTCGAACTCACTTTTTCCTCCAAGTCAAATTTGTTTACAAGAACATACCGCGCAGTTTCTTTCCATGGTTATTCTCAGTATTACAGCATGCGAGGAAACTTACCGAAGTCGACGTTAAACACCTATAGCTTTTGAATGCTCAGCAATTTCAGGAGCTATTGGTTATTAGTTGTAGTCACCTAAATTTTCAAATCACCAAACAGTGCACCTTAAGGAAAAACCTAAATAGCTCATACGGTTTCGCCAACCCATTACATCTTGATAAGTTGAGTGCAAACTGATTCCTCACTTATGAGTAGAGTTAGGCGTTGCTGTGTAGTTCGCATATGGGAAAGTAAAATGTCGCAACAAACTTTACCAGACGGTCGGAAAATGGAGATATTTTTGACTTTAAACGAAACAGAAATCAGGTGCAAATCTGCCAGTGATTTTGCCAATTAACTATACTCTTCCTTAAGACGGTAAAAGTCTTTCACGTGAACTATACAATCGCTGTTGGAACAAAAATTTTGAAAATCCTAATTTTGACTGATATTTTATATCCTTATACTGTTTGAAAATGACGGGTTGGTTAGGATTGTGTGAAAGTTACCGTCATCCCTTCCATATTCATCTTACTTAAGATCAGAAGCTTACTAATTCTGTTTCTTGATTTTAAATCAGAGTTCTTTACCAATACCAAGTGATGAAGCATATACGAAATAAATTTGTTAATCTGCAGCATTAAGGAGCTGTGCTTTCCCACAGCATTCTCTATGACACTGTAGAATCTTGTTAAATATGGAGATCGAAAGTAATTCTACAAGGCGATAAGGGACTTGTCGACTTATCGGGTCCTATAATCATGCGTTGGAAATCAAGCATCATAAAGAAAACTCAACTATTAGTTTACTTAAAGTTGTCAGTGATCTAACGGTCGCTACTCAATCACTTGGATCTACTTTTCACTTGATGTATATCAGGGAAACAACCATGTCTCTTGTAGCAGTTTACAGTTAGAGATCATTTGCGAATTAGCAACAAGAACTTTTTAAAACTAGCTTCTTCTACTTTTCGTTACGTCAGCTGACGTTTCCTCTCTCGTTTACACAATTTGTCTTAACAGCTGGGACTTCCCCCTTGTCAGCGAATGGTTGAAAAACTAACGAAAGTTATTTGAATGGAAGATTTGTAATCTTAATAATAAGTCAGAATATCTAGCGTTTTTGCTTTTTTGTTGTTTTTCCTATGTATAATGTCTGTGTATTGATTGATCATCGTCAAAATCAGTAAATCTACATTGAATTACATTCTCACGGCTAAACTTGATTCATTTCAGTGCTTCATGGTAAAGCTCTATTTACCTTTGCGTATGTCCATTAGTCAAATTCACTATAGTGACTTTTGGATGTCTAGTGAATCAGACTAGTTTTGTTTGAAAGTGTACAGAAGGGAACAGTTAGCATATAAGTGAAGACAGCTACTCACCTATGTCACACATATCTGTTAGTTTAAATTTTATCCTCGTAAATGTCAATACTCTCAGTGTATATATGATTATTTGGTGTCACGATTTTATAGAATTTATAAACGAATTTCTCTTCTTTTTTTTAACAGTCCCTCTGTAGCAGTGCCGATAAATCTACAGCCTCAGTTATATTCATTGATGAACTAGCTGTTTGTGATCCAGTTGCATGTTTAGAACCATATACGAGACCAAATCACTTGCTAGACTTAATATTTGCTGAATTATCACCTGATGGTCACCGAGCCTATGTATCTTGGGAACAATTGTCCAAGTGGTGAGATAAAGTCAACTTCATATTCTTAAAGTTATGTTTACTGGTTGATTAACAGTAATAGTTTTAACTTCTGCCTATTGTCTTCAGATTCCTAGTCAATGAACTAAACTGAATTTTACATTTTGTATTGAAATCATCTACGCCGAAAAGAATAAACCTCGTGTTGTATTGTATTTTATTGATCATGGAACAACAGCAAAACTGGTGGAATTTATTAATACAACTGAATTCAGTTTGTTTGATTCTATTGTAAATGGTAATAACTAGTTGGTGGGATGTTGAAACAACAACTGTGAGTAACCCAGCACAATTTATTATAAATCTAGGCACTACAGTTTGTTGCTTCATTAATGCACTTTAACATTGCGTTCGACGCAAAGCGAGAAAGCAGGAAACAGGCAAATTTTTGTCAGATTCAAAAGGACAAGTTGTTGAATAGACAGAAGGATGATGATAATAACGCAACTCAACCCAGTGCAGGTTTACTCACTAGGTTATAAGGCCCGCTTATTGTGTATGAGGGCTCATGATGGTACCTAGTTGTCCAGACTAAAGTAGGAGGGGTGCTATTTGTATCCCAAGCACATTGCTTGTAAGTGAAGCGCTTGAGCCAATAAGTCACATCATCATAAAAATATTCATTCTCGATAAACATAAAAGGTCTACGTTTTTCAGAGTTTACTGACTGATCATTTAACACGTATAACCCGAGAACGATCTCACATCTCTCACCTTATTGGAACAGTAATTTCAGCAAGCTTAATGAACCCTTTTCATGTGATTTAGTTGCTTCCCAATAATTTCATGCTGAACTTTTAATTTTTAGCCCTAAAGAAGGCGTTTCTGAATCTCTGTTTTACAGAATTCCACTCGACAGTGGTTTCAACTTTCAGTGTTTCAGCAACCAATTCGTCGTTTTTTCTAAAAGTCATGAAGCTATTGTCTTCTTTGTTACTGGTAAATATGTATCAGTTGTACGGATTATCACTCTCCGTTTATTTGCTAGCGACATGTGCAATTGGTAGTTATCAAGATAATCACTACAATAACAGTGAACTGTTATATGTTCTGAAACGATGCATTATATCGTGGTTTACCAATAAAAATTCTGTCGTGCATGTGTCCAAGCATTCAAATATTTTAGGTAGTGTTCGTTTTCTAGTTATTACCCTCTTATTATCGCCTAACAGTTACAAAGTAACCGCCTTGTCTATGATATTGTGTATTATTTGGGTACTCACTAAATGTGACTTAAATGTTTGTGTGCTGATTTTTCAACTAGGGATTTACATGGTCATATTCACTGCATTTGTTGTGATTTGAATGAACAGGCAGTGGTCTGCCTTTTAAGGCGTATACAATGACAGAATTTCGCTGTTGTATGCTGGGTTTTTTCAGTTGAAAATGTTGGTTTGACGTATGGTTAAGCAAACTCCTGATTGGGCTAGGTTCAACCACAAAGTTGTTGAAATCTGGGGAAGCAACAGGACTAGATGGAATTCCGCCAGAATCACACAGAGACAACAGCGGACATGCTCTCACCACTATCGCAGAAGGTTTGGAAACAAGGAAAGGTACCTTCCGATTGGAAGAGGGGTGACCTAAGTCTTTTCAGTAACTGGAGCGGACTCATGCTCCACTCCTTTCCACCCCAAGCAAAATATTAAGCTACATCATCCCGGAGAGACTGAAAAACGCTCTGCATTCAAAACTATGACTGACTGGCTTCAGAAAAAGCGTATCGAATTGCAACGGAACGCTACGCATCATCATAGAACAGAGCATAAAATGGCAGTAGACTCAATTCTGCCTCAACTTCATCCACTTTAATAAGGCCTTGGACCGACAAGTAATTTGGCAAGCAGCTGCTTCAACACCATGGTTTCAGTGTCACAAACCTTTATCAACCTCATTCAACAGCAGCTATATGCCATATGATGCTACATGCTAAGTGATTCACAATGGAAGACTCAGTGATTCCCTCGAAGTGAAGACAGGAAGGAGTAAGATAAGGTTGCCGCCTACTATCACCCATTGTCTTCCTGATTGTGGTTGACTGAACTGGACTGGACTGGATCATACAACAAACTGAGGAGCGGGAAGAGGGGCATATGCTGTTTGACCGATGAAAAGACCCTAGAAGATTTGGACATCGCCAACGATGATGATTCATATCTAATGTTTTATGTTGAACGAACTCAAAGATGTATAGGCGAAAACTAACAAGTTGACAGAAGAGACAGGTTAGCGGAAGAAGACGAACTTCAGGTGAACATATAGAAGACAGAGGTGATGAAGATAATCAATCAACAACAACAAGCACCATGAACGAGAGAAATCTAAAGAAAGTTATCTCTTTCCACTACCTACCTAGGTAGGCAACATCGTTTCATCTACAGGCGGCGGCAGCAGCGCAGATGAGGGTGTCAAAGCCAGGATGGGAAAGACAGCAAGATAGGCCTTCATTACCGTAAATCAGTGTGGAGATCTACTGCACTCAATAAAGCGTGAACAAGATCCGGATTTTCAACACTTATTCAGTCAAGTCAGTGCTTCTGTGTGTTGGTTGAGAGACTTGGTGTGTTACGAAGAGCATTTTCAACAAACTACAAATGTTCATCAGCAGCTGCGGCCTACGCTGGATACTGAATATCAGATGGCCAAAAAGAATAAGCAACAAGGAACTCCGGCCAAGCAACGAACCAACCAAGAACCTATCGCTCAACAAATATGCACTGGAAGGAAGTGAAGATGGATTGGGCATACACTGAGAAGGCCAATTGGGGACACCACGCGCTAGGCCCTTGATTGGAATTCAAAGGGGAAACGACGAGTTGGGTGTCCCAGGTGAGGGTGACAGGAAGATCGTGTGAGGAAGAAATGAGCGCTTGTGGGCAGTCGTGGCGCCAGGTTGGAAAGACTGCGGAGAATATAGTGAAATGGAGGCGTGATACTGAACCTTTACGTTCCACTAGGAACCCAAGGAACAAATAATAATAGTTATGTTAATATTTTATAATTAATATTTATTATCTATACTCCAAGGACCGCTGCCTTCAAATTCTAGGCGAATGAGTACCGAAAGATAGAACCTATAACCAACTAGTAGAGTGTTTATTTTTTTTAGATGGTTAGAAGGAATCAACATGAATCCCTAGATCTAGGTTTTTTTTCGTCTTCTTCTTATTATTGTTATAATTATTATTTGTCCCTTAGGTTCCTAGTAGAACATATGGCTTCAGTAGCACGTCTCCATTTCACTCCGTTCTCTACAATCTTTTGAACCTGGCTCCATGACTACCCAGAAGCTCTCATTTCTTCCTCACACGATCTCCTCCATGTCACCCTCAGCTGGGACGCCCAACTCACCGTTTCCCATCTGGGTTCCACTCGAGTGCCTGGCCTGGAGCGTGATGTCCCCAATTGGCCTTCTCAGTGTATGCCCAATCCATCTCCACTTCCTTCCAGTGCATATTTGTTGAGTGATGGGTTCTTGGTTAGTTCGTTGCCACCCAGCCAGCCAGAGTTCCTTGTTGCTTATTCTTATTATTCTGGCCATCTGAGCTTGAGTAACGAGGTAGCGTAGGCAGTTGTTGATGAATATCTGTAGTTTGTTGGGAATGCTTTTCGTAACGCGCGAAGTCTGTGAAGCATATGGAGGCACTGACTTGACTGAATAAGTGTTGGAAATCCGGATATTGTTCACGCTTTACGCTGAGTGCAGGAGATCTGCACACTGGTTTCAGGTTAATGAAGGACTATCTTGTTGTCTTTCCGATTCTGGCTTTGACATCTTCGTCTATGCCTGTGCCACCTGTAGTTGAGACGGTGCTGCCTAGATAGGTGAAAGAGGCTATTTCCTTTAATACATTGAATATACCCATTTAGACATTTAGAAAAAGACTGATTGAGCGAAGAAATATATTTCTTTTTGGTGGTGGTGTTGCTTGGGTATCATCATCACCTCTGTTCACTTGAAGTTCCGTCTTCGCTGCCCTGCCTCTTCTGTCAACTTGTTCGTTTTTGGCTGTAGATCTTCGAGTTAGTGCTACAAGACATTAAACACAAGTCATCGGCGAAATCCAAATCTTCTGGGATCTTTTCATCGGTCCAGCCAGCGTATCCCCCTCTTCTCGCTCCTCACTGTTTGCTGCATGATCCAGTTCACCACTTCTTCCTACTTCTGTGAGTGTATGATATAGCGTGACCTCCATCTGATACCGTTGTTGAGTAACTGTACTTGAGTTAGTTGGCCCTACCGGTCACGACTTCTCGTTGGAATTTCTGGTGTCGCCTCTCGAAGCTAGTCACCAATGAGCACTAGATTAATTCAGTTTGAGGTTTGTGGCGATATATTTGTTGATTTCAACCAAGCTGGACATGAGGACAGTTATTCAACGACGGCATTAGATGGAGGTCACGCCATATGATGTACTGACAGAAGTAGGAAATATAGACCATTGACTTCCGACCTAGTGGTTCAATGGTAACTTTTTGACCGTGGGAGCTGAAAGTCCTGTGTTCGATCCCTTGAAGGCAGGGTCATGGATGCGCACTGCTGAGGAGCCCCATTCTAGGACGAAACAGCTATTCAATGCTCCCAGGTTTCCAATGCTTCTGCAACTGATGTTAGTCCATGGTAAATACCAACTTGGAATTCTGTAACTACTCTTGAAATTTCCACTAACAGGGAACTTTCAGATATGGAAGACCGAAAAATCTGATTACCGAGGAAAATTAGATCATTTATTATCATTAACCAGGTTTTCACTTTTAAGGTTAGGGTAACAGTGAGAAGTGTCATGCCGTTCTCACTCACACTGAAGTGCGCGCAGCCTATTCATATTGTCCATCGCTCAATGGTTGAGATCACTGGGTCACAATTATGTCATACTACAAATCGTACTCGTGTTTACTATATTTTTATCTGTGTTTCCCGCAGATTATCCACCTTTCAGTATATTTTAAATCTCTACTTATAAGTCAAGCTTGTTTCTTAGCTCATTTTTCCACTCAATTTTAGTCCATCTTTTGAGAATAACAGCTATGAAAATAAAAATTCATCAGAACCCCTGTGTACAGATCTAATACAGTCAATGGATATCAATGCAAATCCTCTACTAGATGAACATTTATTACTAAAAGAGCATGTAAGTAACTTGGGTTTAAAATAAAAATGACGATTAATACCTAAGTCAGCTACTTGGTAGCAGCCATTGTTTTTAGTAGTATTTTGGATGTAACACTGTGTTATAATCTCTAACGGAGGGCTGATTTCATTCTTATCATAAGTTCACTTTTCTGATGAGTGCCAACGAAAATAAGCCAAGTTGACTTAATTGGTGACCACCTTCAACTGTGGAGTAACTTCAATCAATTTGAAAGTAAATTTGTGTCTCAAATTCTTGGTGTATGTTAGTTGTCCACCCATCTATTGCCTATTAAACTACAAATCCAGCTCCATGTTAGGTTGCTTATTTGATACAGCATACGTAGCGATACGGCATAATTTACTGAATGATGTTTCGAGCAGAATTTACTGCTCATATTCATACCAAAGTGATCATACGACTTCCAAACTTCCTTCATATATAGTCCAACGTTTCTTCATATCTTTTATCTTGATGCTAGTAAAATTTACCAGATAGCTCCACTGTTTGATGAGTCATTCCTGTTACGTTTTACATGACTCATCGCATATTACAAATATCTATAAAATTTTACTAGCATCAATATAAAAGATATGAAGAAACGTTGGACTATATATGAAGGAGGTTTGAAAGTCGTATGACCACTTTGGTATGAATATGAGCAGTAAATTCTGCTCGAAACCTTCCCATTCGAATCGCTACTTAGACTTCAAATCATCTCACCCCATCTCAGTTAAAGTAGGCTTAGTTGAATGCCAAAGTGATAGGGTAAAAAAGTCTACTAGTAGGTTTGAAAATCTACGGACAAGAAATTAGGCACATTAAAGACTACTTTGCGTCTCAATAATTATCCACCTACATTTTAAAACAGATTCATAAGAAATCAAGAGAAAAATATTAGCAGTAGTAGTAAATAACACAGGTGTTATTAATAATAATTCTACTAATGGTAATGATGGTGACAGGGTTGAGAGAGGATTCGAAACCCCTGTCGTGTTATCAACAAGGAAGGCACCTCAAAAACACCACACAGAATTCTCAATAAGATTGGGATCAAGTGGCATTTAAACCAACAAACTCGCTTAGAAACATGCTTTGTAGGTTAAAAGTTGCAATTAAGCAAAATAATTTGGTTTACCAAATCCCTTGTAATGAATGATTGCGAGATCGAATACGTAGACCAAAGTAGTCGACCAGGGTCAATTAGAATAACAGAGCAGACAAACTTAGCTAAATCAAGATTAGTGGAACCTAATAAACAGACTCCTTGATCTTACTCTTTTCGAGTAGTTTGATCGAACCCTATAGAGAATTTTGAATGAGCTCTCAAAAGGAGCTATGTGCCCTGAGTTCACTAAGTGTTCTGTTATTGAACTGAAGATATATTTCCGTTCTCCCTTTGCAAGCCAGGCTGGGTAGTGTTCGTAGGCACGTTTTACAAGCGGACACACGGTACGGCCGATGTGCTCAGCTCCACAAGAGCAAGTAATCTGGTATACACACATTGATGTGACCCAATGCATCGGCTTGTTTTCCACACATTGACCAAAAAGTTTCTTACAGGAGAAAAAAATCTGAAGGTTGGCTGCGAAGTATGTTCTATTTAAGGATTTTGACAGTTGTTTCCTGAGGATGTCTGTAGCAATATCATTTTCGAATTCAAGATTCAACAAAAGAATCTTTATCGGCGCCAAATGTGTTCGTTCAGCTGTTTTCTTTGACTTTGTGTTCTCATCTGTGAATCTGAGCAGGAAACGTTTTTCCCTTAGAGTTTGTCGAAGTATTTGCAGTTCTCCGTCAACATTGTCCTCAGTACATATTTTCCTGATCCTTGAGGAAAGTAAATGAATAAGATTTCTTTTCCTGCATAGATGGACTGAACTTTGAAAGTTAACAAATTGTCAGTTCCAGGTAGGCTTTCTCTAGATCGACCTACAAAGTGAATTATCGTCTTTTCTTTGGAGTTGAACATCAAGAAAAGGGAAGGTCGAGTTTGATTCTGGTTCTAGAGTGAATTTGGTTGAAGGGTGAGCGTTGTTGAAGGTATGAAGCAGGTTTGAAAGGTTCATATTTTCATCACAAACTATAAACGTATTATCCTTGTATCTTTTGTAGACATGAAGTTCATTGATTATTAATGATAAGTTGGTGTTTTCCAGGTTTACCATGAAGCAGTTAGTTAGGAGAGGTCCTAGTGGAGAACCCATTGCCACATCATCTATCTGCATGTAGATCTCATTATTAAATCTGAAGCGTACATTGAAGGTACATCGGAGGAGAAGCTCTTTTAGGTAGTGAATTTGGATACCAACTTCTATGTTATGACGAATGAATTCACAAAGGAAGCAGATGGTTTCTATCAGCGGGACATTTATGAAGAGGGACACGACATCCAATGGAATCATTCGTGTACCTGTCACATTTACATTCTTTATTGAATCAATAAAATCAAATGTGTCACGCAAGCTGTGGTTCAGTAGCCTCGTCTTTACATGTTTCAGTATTTCCACAAGCCATTTTGCAACAAATGGTACGGAGAATTTATCATTATCTGGTATTAGACGGAGTTGAATGCCTTCTTTGTGTATTTTGAAAAGACTGCATAAACGGGGAGACCTTAGAACTCGATGGGCAAAGTTGTTCATATAGTCTTTGTTGATGAATGACTCATCTCTTATTTTCTTCAGCATTTTTGACAATTGCAGCTCTGTTTGCTCAGTATAATCTTTTGATAAAAGATGTCGATAGCTGAAGTTTCTATTTATATAGTCAAGACAGCAACTTAAAACTGTTGATTTGAAATGGTTAGCATTATTATATGAAACTGGAACTAGGTCCTTGGTTTGACTAATTAGATTTTCGAATTGGACTTTCGTTTAGAGCTTGTCGACTTTTGAAGTCATATCAAAGAATTTAGGTTCAAGTGACAAGATTTGCATTTGAATTGGGGATAGTGATAAATTAGGAAAGTTGAATACATATTTTTTAGGACACGAAGGAAAGACGGTTTCTTTAATTATAAAATTTAAGCTTTTACATAGTTCTAGATTGACGTCATCATTTCGCTTCTTAGTAATAATCGCAACATAGTTTTCAAATTCTGTTCTTTCATTGGTGGATAATTCAAAACGCGTGTGTGATTTTTGTGATAGGTTGCGTTCGAGCTCCGTTAGTCGGGAATGGACAGCGTCAGTGTGATTGAGTGTCTCGCTACAACGTATACGAATTAGGGGAAATGTGGTTCCGTCTGGAATTCTTCCAAAACATTTTGGGATACTCATGTTTCTCTAGACATCTCTTCCAGAAGTATATTTTTGCATTCGCCTCAGCAAGTTTGACGGAAAAACGCAGAAACTTGTCCAGTTCTTTTACTGTTGCGCGGTCCTTGCTACTCTTTAGACAGCGGAATACAGCTATTCGATCATAGGACAAGCCAAGCCAAGTTCCTAATAAGATAAGAAATTTAGAAAAGAAGCTCGGCTATAGCTCTGCACGCAATTACACACAATAACACAATAGGGTGGGATAAAGCTACAGTATTAAAAACTAAGTTAAGTGGAGGGAGAGATTCATAATCGAATCTTTGGAACAACTAAGTGAAACAACAAATTGTTATTGTACACGCAACGGGGGCTTAAGTTTACGAATTAATACGAAAACGGTATTCAACATATTATATGGGAACAGTCTGGGGAGCATACTGAAATTTGCCGAAGCGTTAACCATTCCTAAAGTTAAGCCCCAGTTATGTGTACAATAACAATTTGTTGTTTCGCTTAATTTATCTTGGTAATCCTTATGTGATTATATTACCAAGACTAGTGTTTGTACTGGGTGATGATTGAAGGTGAGATGAAAATCCGAACCGCGACTGGATTCGGACCAGCGACCACCGGGCTAGCGGCCTGATGCTCCAACAACTGAGCTACGTTCCAGGTTTTCATCTCACCTTCAACCATCACCCAGTACAAATACTAGTCTGCCAAACTACGGCTATCTTAGATAATCAAATCATAATCAAGACTAGTGTCACAACCTTTTCATATTCATTATATTTGACCTTTCATCTTCATATATAAACTGACTTGACAAGTAAATATGTGATCAAATTGTTTGAAACGTACTGCGCAAACAAGTCACATTTTTCAGATAATCTTCGTCTCCTAATAATGTTATCGAAACCGAATCTTTGTTTATCGGGTCAGCATGCAATAGAAATTATTCTGCACCTGTCTCAGATATATAGAAAATCTTACCATCCTTGTCACCACAAAAAAAGAGAGAAAATTAGAACGACTTAAACTCTATCTTAAAGTTCTGAATATGAATACGTTGATATGAATATGAACAATAAATTATTTCCAAAACGTTATCCAGTGAATGATACTATTTCATTGTGTGAAGTTTCTAATAAACAGACTAAAATCGAATTTGAAGTATGAGCTTTTGTGTACCACTCGAAAGCCAGTGTGAACCAGCTCTTCAGCGCTCCATAGTTTTCAGTAGTTGGTTTGTGATGAGAAGCATCTTCAAAATATATTTCTGAATCTATCACCAAATCGCATGTGTATTAATTAAGTAATATCTTCGGATACGCTGACTACATAACAACAGAATGTTAAAAATTTACATCAAGTTATACATTTGGTGACCTGTAATGCTGGGAGTAATTTGATTGCAAGGATGAAGAACGTCTGGGACGTTAATATACGGGCAAAAGCCTGATCAGTGTGGTAAAATGTAATTCCATTTTCCTTGATTTATTAGATGTATCATACAGTGTTATTTACTGGATTACTTTTTGGACGCACTTTATTGTCCATAGCCATATCAAGATCAGAAATAGAACTTTGGAGACAATTTAGTCACCTATAATCTTCTAAGCTTATGTAGAGACAAGATATTTTATTATTATTATTTGTCCCTTAGGTTCCTAGTAGAACATATGGCTTCAGTAGCACGTCTCCATTTCACTCCGTTCTCTACAATCTTTTGAACCTGGCTCCATGACTACCCAGAAGCTCTCATTTCTTCCTCACACGATCTCCTCCATGTCACCCTCAGCTGGGACGCCCAACTCACCGTTTCCCATCTGGGTTCCACTCGAGTGCCTGGCCTGGAGCGTGATGTCCCCAATTGGCCTTCTCAGTGTATGCCCAATCCATCTCCACTTCCTTCCAGTGCGTATTTGTTGAGTGATGGGTTCTTGGTTAGTTCGTTGCCACCCAGCCAGCCAGAGTTCCTTGTTGCTTATTCTTATTATTCTGGCCATCTGAGCTTGAGTAACGAGGCAGCGTAGGCAGTTGTTGATGAATATCTGTAGTTTGTTGGGAATGCTTTTCGTAACGCGCGAAGTCTGTGAAGCATATGGAGGCACTGACTTGACTGAATAAGTGTTGGAAATCCGGATATTGTTCACGCTTTACGCTGAGTGCAGGAGATCTGCACACTGGTTTCAGGTTAATGAAGGACTATCTTGTTGTCTTTCCGATTCTGGCTTTGACATCTTCGTCTATGCCTGTGCCACCTGTAGTTGAGACGGTGCTGCCTAGATAGGTGAAAGAGGCTATTTCCTTTAATACATTGAATATACCCATTTAGACATTTAGAAAAAGACTGATTGAGCGAAGAAATATATTTCTTTTCAAATAGGTCTTCATCTTGGGCTCTACATTAATATATATAAATTTACAATTTAATCAAATTACCAATCACGTGGTGTTTCGGAAATAATGATGTAAATAATCAAGAGAGTTACTAAAATAGGAAATATGAATATTGATAGAAACAAGAAGGGGGAAGAGGTGTACAAAGTAAACCTAGAAGTTACATCACTTTGACGGCCACGGTAATGAAAGTGGTCGAACAAACGTCTTTTGGATACAAAGGCTAGGTTTGTAAAGGTGGACTGCAATCGCCTCTGCTATGTGAAGTAACCGAGTGTGTAAACCATGAGGTAAATAATTGGAATTTGATGGATAATTTTGAAGGCTTTTCCAGTCACCACTTGATGTCCTGTGTCAACTAAGTGTGCAAGTGTGGAGCTCTATAGTTCTAATTTGTCCCTTGTTCAACCGTGATGCTCAGAAATTCTGCGATTGAACTGCCTCATTGTACGTCCAATGTAACTCGCTCCACAGGAGCAGTTGAATTGATAAATGCACCCAGAATCGCACGGTTGTAGATGAGACATAATTTAGCGGCTGGGAATGCTTTATGCAAGACTCTTTTTATGTTTTGTGTGATGATCTCACTGGCAACATCACTCTTAAATTGCTGCTTCAAGAAGATTTGCTTCTTAGGGACTGTTGGCATTGTTTTGTTAACCCTCGTAATATTCATGCGCTTAGTTACAAACTTGTCTGGGTAGCCATTCCTACTAAGCAGATCACGGACGGTGGCGCACTCTTCCTTTATAGCATCCTCTGAGCAAATAGCTGATGCACGGTATGCTAAGCATTTCATTAGGTTCCTTTTGTATTGGAGGGGTACAGCACTAAAGAAGTGCGTATATTGACCTGTTGATGTTGGCTTTCTATAGACACTTCGCTTCAGGGTTCCATCTGACCTCACCAACAGGACATCAAGAATTGGGATACTATCATTTTTCTCCTCTTCCATTGTGAAGTTGATTGCCGGGTGAACACTATCGAACTTATTCAGAACAGTATTCTTATCAGTCTCACTTTTGAGAACTATAGAGGTATCATCCATGTAACGACAATATAACTCTAAAGGGCTTATAGTATCGTTCAGTGGACCATTCTCAAGTTTTGCCAGAAAAAAATTTGCTAAGAGCGGGCCAAGGGGTGACCCCATGGCAACACCATCAGATTGCCGGTAGAGTTCATTGTTGAAAAGAAATTGTGCATTCATCGTACACCTCAGAAGTAGTTCTTTCAATGTGGAGACTGGAATACCTATTTCCATGCCGTGCTTCGTGAATTCGTTGCAAATAAAGTCTACTGTCTCCATTAAAGGAACGTTAGTAAAAAGAGATGAAACGTCACACGAAATCATTGACTTATTCTCTACTTCCAGATCCTGAATCTTTCTGACAAATTCAAAGGTATCTTTGAGACTGTACTTCACAACTTCTTTGTGGAGAGGCTTCAAAAGTTGTACCAACCATTTTGCTGTTGTATGATACGGAGAGTTAGTCATGTCAAGAACTGGTCGTAGAGGCAGACCGTTTTTATGCAGTTTCGGTAGGCCGTAAAGTCTAGGTGTAACGGTTCCAGTAGGTTTCAGCATTTCGAAGGTGCTTTCTGAAATGAAACCTTGTTGTTTTATCCTTTTCAGTGATTCAGTTGGATGTTTCACGGTTTTCTGTGTTGTATCAGCATAAGCGGCTAATTTCTGAAATTTACTTTCATCACTAAGTAAAGAATTCATTTTGTCTATATACTCTTTTTTATGCATTAAAACTATTTCTGACCCTTTATCTGGCTTGGCAATCACGATATTTGCATTAGTTTTAGTCTTTTTCAAGGCTTCTCTATGTTTTTTCGTTAAAATACTCTTTATACTGTTCATACTACTCGTGTACTTTGGGCGAGAGTCAACGAGTGTAATCTTAAGTCTATCTTCACTAGATGATGGTATCAAACCTTCCGTTTGCGTATATATGTTCTCAAACTGTATTTCCGTTTCCATCTTACTAATTCTATTACGACTCTATCACAAAAGTTTGGTCCAAGTGACAAAACTTCTAATTGTGTAGCATCTAGATGCATCATGTTTGAGATTTTTCCCGGTATAACAGCCTGACTGAGTTTTCGAACTATGGCTCTCTGGTTTATGGAGTTCACCATAGTCCTCCACTTACTAAGTAATATCACTAAGCGTCTCATATCAGTTGAAACTCATGGCTTACTGCATGAATGTGCACATACTTGCCGAGTTACATTTCACTTAATTGTTATGTGGAGTGTTTTGTATATAAAGATGCTCGCTTGGCGTCTATCCAAATGAAAAATTGACAGGACAGTTCAGTAAATTTCTGTTGTTGTCTGTCATACTTTTTGGCTGATTATGCTTTTTAAACGTCTCTGAACTTCAACTGAATGAATATCAGAGGACAGGTTGCTGGTTAAGTGGTTGAGTTGTGTGTATGTCTTACAATGTGATGAACTATCTGTTACATTTTAAACTACGAATGAGACAACAGCTGAGAATTACATACCACATCACAGACAGTCAAAGGACCAGTAAAAGGAGGCCACAAAGCAGTCATCACGTTTTTACCAGTGAGCGTAAGACAGCGATTTGGTTCGCTATGAATTAGATACACTTATTTTGTCTCAGTCAGTTAGATTCAATTATAAACTTTCTGTTACGTTTTTACAGTATTATCAAGGCTCTGCACAAATTTTATCGGTTTCATCGCATTTTTATTCCTTTGAAAGGCATCCTTATCTAAAGTACAACAAAATTTGCTACATGTCGCTGAGCTTATTCAACATGAATTGCCTGAATTATTGGAGCCGCCAAGAACGAAGCTACAGTGGGCTGATCTGTTGCGAAGTCAAGTGAAGAAATTATTTGCGTAAGTATTTATCCAATGGACAGTTTTTCATGCCTTCATTTCATATATCAATATTTAACAAAACATGTTTAGTTTTAATGGCACAGCTTGTAAACAAGCCTTCTGTTCAATGAGAACAGAAGCATCTTATATGTTTCAAGCCCAAGATGCTGGAAATTTACTACAGAAAAACTTAAGTATTCAGACTGTCAACCACACGAATTAGTTTTAGGCATCATCAGCTATGTGGGATCTAAACACCTGGTGATAATTTGACACATGCCTCGTTCAAGCCAGCTTCTTTTTCTCTCGCACACTTTTAGTGCGACTGATTTAAAAATCAGTAGACAGTTATTGAGAACTTCAAAATTTAAAAGCTTGCTTACGATGATTGAAGTCACTTTGGATAGTTTTTATTTCCTAAAATCTTTGCCGGTACCCAAGATGTGAATTTCCAACATAAATTGGATTATGATAATTTGGTTGGTTGTGGCTAGCAGAAGAATCCAGGACGCGCGTTTCGTCCTATTTGAGACTCGTCGGCTGGATGTACCTGCACCCCAGTGATGTTGTTCCCACTGAGACTCGAACCCCGTACCCATCGCTTCAAATGCCGAGGCGTTATCAGTTATGCCAAGGAGGAACGATAGCCAATTTTGTACAACGGGTAGTAGTTATTACTATTTATTGACATACTTGTTATTCTCCGTTGTTTTGTTGGGTCGAATTGTTCGACCTCCGTGGCATAGTGGATAACGCCTTGGCGTTTGGAGCGATGGGTACGGGGTCCGAGTCTCAATGGAAACCACATCACTGTGGTGCAGGTACATCCAGCTGACGAGTCACAAATAGGACGAAACGCACGTCCTGGATTCTTTTGCTAGCCACAACCAACCAAATTATCATAATTAACATTCAGGCAATATCGAGGAACCCATATGTCAATAGAGGTCGAACAATTCGATCCAATAAAACAAACAACGGAGAATAACAAGTATGTCAATGAAAATAGTAATAAATTGGATTGTTGTAGAATGATTATTATTTGAAAAGGTTTATCTAGTTAATATAGAAATATGCAGTTAACCATCAAGTTGCATTAGAAAATCTAGATTTAAAATTGTATTTTATCCACCGACAAAAAGAGTATATTTTCGAGTCTTGTTCCGTTTCTTTTAATTCGAGCAACCGAGCTGCATCATAATCCTGCCGTAGTTTAGTTGAGTCTTGGTTTAGTTTGGTTTGGTTCTCAAACCTATTCTAGATTGTTGAGTTGCACCAGTATCAGTTGGTAGTACTGCAGTCTGCATTAAACATCAGTGTATAATTATCAGTTCCACGAGATTGCTGCAGAGAAGCTGTTATGTGATTATTTTTTCTACATTTAGTTACCGTGTGATATAAATCTGAGTACTATCATGTTTTAAAAATGTCTACCATGTAAATTAGATCAAGACATATAAGCGAAAAATATTGTTTTCAGTTAGATCCTTTTCAAGCTTTACTCTAATACAAATAGCTTAATACATATAATAAGAAAAATTAAACCAATCATGTAGATTTTCCAGCTAGTATGGTAAATGTTTTAAAATAACGATGGTGATAATAATACACGTAGCAGATGTAAGAATTCGAGCTAATAATCCTAGTCTTTGTATCCAAAAGAAGTTTGTACATCCATTATCTCTCCCTTGACCAGGGAATACTTAATTAATAACTTTATCATTGAAATTTTTTCCTACCCCTTACATATACTTACTGTATTTATTTCGGCTTTGTTTGTCCACTAACCTCATCCTTCAGTACTGCATTATCGTTGACGCGTAGCATTGAATGATTGTGAATTTCCTTCCTTTTGAGTTAAATCTTGCTGTTATGATCCTGCAGGAGGAGACTGGTTCCCACTGCATGAGAGCCTTCGATGTTCTTGGGGAAATCATGATAGCCACTCGAAAACTCAGTGTGCTCGTGGTTGTCGTCTGGATGACAATATCGGAGTAGATTATTGACTCTCCAGCTGACAGTTTGGAGGGTCCACTTCCATTCCATCTACAGATTCGTCGCAGATTCCAAGCACTTCTATGCCATACCTCCTCATCTCTTTTGCAATCTGGGCTGCCTTCCTAGGTTCATACATGGTGCGGACATTCCATGTCCCCATTCTTACTTTCATTTTCATGGAGAGAGAGAAGATACGTCGGCCAATTGGCTTTTGCCAACCGGCGTCATTTCGTCTCCCCGATTCCAGCTAGGAATAAGTTTGTTTTTTATCTTTTATATCTTCTTTGTGCTTTGAAGTTTCTGTAGCTGTTGGATTGGTTTTCTGGGGTAGGGTTGGTGGCCGTATGCCCAACCTTCCCTCTTTACCCGGGCTTGGGACCGGCTAGTAACTAGTGAACTAGTTAACCAGGTGAGGTTCATCCTATGCTTTTGACCTACTTTTACTATCAGTGTCTACACTTCCATGCTTATTTCTCGGTTCTTATCATCATTATCGATACAATCGCTTTAGTCAATGTTATTACTGACATGTATACTGGGCTTTTATTGGGAACACAAGGGAATTTACGGCATCAAACATTATCTGTTAAAGCTTTGGATCTTTATTGGGACTTGCGTTGTAATCAAGTCGTCAGGGTTGATATAAGTGAAGCATGGATCACTCTCTTATCAACCTCATTCATCTACTGAAACTTTGAAAGGTGAAGTAGAGTTCGAAATCATTGCTTATTACTTATACATTGGATGCCTAAACAAATGATTTAGAGCCTCATTGATTGAAGTGCATTATAGGATGAAAAAAGGCTATGGGTCCTGCGTTCGATGTTTATTAGAGTAGAGAACAAGTTAAGGGATTTCGTACTAACAGCGAAGAACTGATTACTCTTGTCTTTTGTTCCGTGATTATTTTCTGAATTTGGAAATATTGTGTTCTTTTCTATGCTATTCCCTATACCTTTTGATTTTATATCTGTTTATTTCTTAGGCCGATATGCAAATCAGGTCGTTTTGACCTCCTAAGTCATATTCAACTGGCACTAGCTGTGATTAATGCATTCGATTCTGTTACAAGTCGTAATCGAGTTCACAGTGTTCACGACAGTGTTAGTTTAGAGAAGTTACTTGTGAAATTTGAACGGTCTTTATTGGTTGCTAGTCAGACAGATTCTAAACTTATTCAACAACTTCAAAAGCCAACTCACTTTGAGCCTGTTCTACTTAGTGCATACAAAGAAGCTATGTAAGTTTAAATAGTTTGATTAATTCTATAACAAATTTCCTGTTTTACGTAAATTGTATCTTGCTTAATAAACTGTCGGTGTTTAACTTTTTTGAACTTTTTTTTATACTATCAGGTCTATGCATGGAAAGTGTTTCTTTTGTATCGAATACAATTTGTTGAATTGTATTACTGATAAATGATAAATTTGTAGTTTTTCAGACAACTTAAACACAATTTGCAGTCTGAAAAAACAACTAAAACCAACCCTCAGTCTGTAAGTGAAACTATGAAAACTCACAAATCCAAAGAGAAATAAAGTAATCACTCCCAGCGGAGTCCTCCAGCCGTCGTTATTGTTGATGATATACTATTTCATCTGTAATACTGACTGACCGTTTCACTTGTCTGAATACATATGTTAGTTGTGATCGACGAAATCTTATCTCAGTTGCTCAGTGATTGGTTGGAACTTACCATCTTACAGCATAAGTTAAATTAAGTCTATTCCCTTATGTACAGTCTGTGGTTGTAAAATGTGAATCACTTAGAGTAAACATTGTAAAAAGCATTCTGGTTATCTAAACAATCCAGCATTGAAGTCATTATATGGACAGGATAAAAACGCCGGTAAGATGATATTAGGCTAAATAAAAAGTTCCAAATGAAGGAGGTGAATCATTTAATAGTCTTTTGATTCGTTATCATCTGAGATAATTATGATAATTATTTCGCTTAGCTAGTCTATAAAAGTCATAAAATAACTTATAGAGAAAATCATGCATTGATTAAGTTACCAAGATGTTCTAGAACACTAAGTAATATTTACTTCTGTGAAAAAGTTTTTTGTTATGAATGTTTATCTTCTGTACAAACGGATTCTTTGTATTTCTACGACAACAGTACTCAGTGTAATGTATTATAAACTGTTAAAATTTTAACTATTTTTTAAAACGGTAGTTAGTTACGAAGGTTATGAACAGCATGAAAGGATGAAAGGCCAAGACAATGAATTCTCCTATTTCAGGAAGATTTATTTTGAAAGTAACTAGTAAAAATGAACTTCGTTAAGTTTCTAAAATTATATGGGATTTACATAATTTGAGGGTGCAAATAATGATAAGAAAATTCAGTCAAAAGAAATATGAAATACTAAAATAGAGAAATGAAGAACGAGAAAATAGTGAGATTCGGTATAGCGTCGTTAAGATAAGGATAATGTGTGTGGGGATACATCTGTGGCACTGACATCGGTTCTGAACCATATCACCTAGTCTCGAAGCACTGGTGGTTTCTGTTGTCCCGCGGATCCCAACTGGCTAGTCTGCATCGCCCTGCATGACTGAAACCAACAGTCAACGACTTCATATATTGATGCCATGTTTTAGTCGCCTAGTCGTGTGTGGCCTTTTTCCAGCCTAAACCTATTTGGGCCAACATTGTGTGAGGAGGCAATCGGCGACTAGGCATATGTAACACATGTCCCAGCCAACCATCTCAGTCGACGAAGGTTCATAACCTGGTCAACTGACTTACCTCTACTCCCTAAAACTACACATATTTGACTTTTGAGTTAGTCACATGGTGACACCATGGAATAGGGCCTATAGTACGAAGGCGGTGATGGTCAAACACTTGAAGCCTTCTCAAGTTCTCCACCTTCAGTGGCCATGTTTCACAGCCATACAATAGAACAGAGCGGACTGTTGTACAGGTGCAGTACATGCGACGCTTAATAGCCAATCTGGTCTCACGGCGGCGCCACAGGTGCCGTAAGTTGGCAAAAGCCAGCCCAGCCTTTTGTATTCGTGCAGAGATTTGATCGGCCACTGAGCCACTAGGGCAGGGCTGATCCTACTTCCCAGGTAAGTGAAGTGGTTGACACATGCAAGCACTAGACTCTCTATTGTTAACCATGGCACCGTTGAAGACTAATCCTTGAGCAACAATTTGCATTTGGGTGGTGAGAAACTCATCCTAAACTTTCTCAAATTCCCACTCAAAGTGTTCAGAAGACTCTGCATCTCGTCAGCGTGTTCACCCAACAGGACAATCTAATCTGCATATTCTAGGTCTAACGAAAATTCTCCTGTGATTAGGTCAACGTCTGTGTAGTCAGGTGACGATAGAGAGGCCGCCATCAGAATATCTGTTGTAAATTCGAATAAGATTGGATAGGGTGGGCAGCCTTGATTGACACCACTAGATGAGGATAGCTCCCTGGACATCTCACCATAGGCTCTAACACGCCCACATGTGTTCGAATAGAGAGCCTTGAATAAGGTGATATACTTGCTCGGCACGCCTTTCATTGAGAGATATTGCCATAAGACTTCTCGACCAACGGAGTCGAATGCCGCCTTCAGATCCGGGACTATAGCTAGTATCGGGCGTGTCGTCAAGCATGCCTTTGTTCCAGAATGTGATGGTGTGAATATTTGGTCGATACACAAGCAGCGGGGTCTAAATCCTGCCTGGTTTTCTCGGGCTTGCCTTTCCTGGGCTCCACTCAGGCTAATCAACGAAATAAGTGCACTGATGTCTTCAAGTGTTGTAATCAAATTGAGTTATCACTCAATACTGATATTAATATCATGAGTTAGAGTTGCTAGAGGCCTGACATGCTCAACATACTTCAATCAAAATCACAAATTAATTCGGTGAAGAAACTTTTCTCGACGAATCATTTTCAGCAGCTGTACAACCGTACTTATAGTAATAACAAACAAATAGATTAGTCTATTATTGGTTAGTAGGTCAACACTAAGTTATCAAAACAGAATGTTTTGAGGTGAGATAGTGGGTCAATTGTAGAGTTAAGAAGGGATTGCGTAATCCAGTATGTGTAAGGAAAATATGCAGTAGATTAACATAATGACTAGTAGGCGAAATTAACAGGTCAAAAATGATACTAATTATAACCACTAAACTGAGTAAAACATTGTGAGGATTTTCGTGGGAGATTAGAGCTAACATTTCTAGACGTGGGAAAGAAGTAAACCGCAAAGTAAAAATAAAAAGTACTGATAATCGTTTAGTTAGAATAAGATGAATAATGAAGCAATAAAAAACTCAAGAAAGGGATATGACCACAGCAAAATAAGAGAATGGACGTACCTCTTCTGTACACAGAGCTCAGGTTTTAAATGTTTAGTCGCCAAGGCCTCTGCTATGCATAAAAGACGAATTCGTACTCCTCGCAACCCGTTTGGTTTGACTTTGTATAGGATTTTGAAAGAAGACTGTGGGGAAGCGACATGACCAAAGTTGACGCCAAATTACTCTATCTATTGTGCTGGTGGGATATTTAACTGGCTATTGTAAATCAAGAGTACTGCGCCGCAGTTCTGTGTTTTAATTGGATGGGAAACGACCATTCAAGGTAGGTGTTACGGGAAGGTTTGAAGTGTTCGAGCACCGTTACCTTCGCAGAATCGGCTGTATATCGTGAAGCCACTATGTCAGTTAGGCATAAGTTAGGCGTAGAGTTTTACATAAAAGAGGTGAGTCAGTTGACAAAGTTGCGAACCATAGTCAACTCAGATGGCTGATTGAGGCATGTGCTACGCATGCGTAGTCACCACCTGCCTCGTTGCCTAATGTTAGCTGAAGTGGGTTCAGGTTCGAAAAAGAATAGGGGCAACCAGACTAGAACATAGTATCATCCCACAATGTCTGACTGTCTTGGCTATTGAAGGGGAATGTGGACTTCGCGGTTGGCGTTCGAGTGACAACGGAAATCGACAGATATGGATTCAAATCGATCTCAGAAGTGCTGATTCAGCTACTTGTTGTCTTATCTTACAACTGTGGTGTAGTGCTTTATGCATTCAATTACCACACATTAGTTTAGTTTACAGGTTCAAATCTACCCACAGACTCTTCGACAAACGGCGGTGTCATATTAACTGATAACTTAGCACATAAGCTCATGTAAGATTGTTGAGGATCAGATGAATTAAAATCAGTAATTTGAGATTCAGGGTGTAACAAGATAGCCTTACATTGTATTTTTAACCTAAGAGAGTTTTTCTTAATGTGTCCTATATTGTTTGATTCTGTATCAAATCTAAGTTTTTTTTTCCAATTTTAGGAATTTGCCAAACCTGGATGAAATGTTCTTTTTTGTTACGCATACAATCAATTTAATGCATGTGCATTCACCGATCTCTGAATCAATATGGTCAGCTATCCGAGTAAGTGTAAATACTAGTCTCTGTATATTCCACTAAATGTTAAGATGAGCTAATCATTTAGCAAGGGCGCACACTTCTGTTAGTGAGTTCACTGCGAAAGCTTTACAATCTATGCATAAAAATATTTAAAATTTGTGTACATGGAATTATCATCATCAATATCAACATAGAACCAGACATTAACTGCTTAACGGTCCAATTTGCCATACATCATATCGGCATATCATGTAGCAAATTAATAAGATGAAAGATGAAGAACGAAAGAAAAGTTGGTCAGAAGCAGTAGAAGGCAGTTAAAGAGAGGGAGGAGGAATGAGAAAATGCTGAGTTCAGTATAGCGATTAGGATGAAGGTAATGTGTAGATGCATCTGCACCTCTGACATCGACTCTGAGCCATGTCACCTTGAGTCTCTAACTACTGGTTTCTGTTGTTATGCGGATCCCAACCGGTAAGTCTACATTTCCCTACACGGCTCAGATCGACAATCAAAGACTTCATGCGATGATGCTATGTTTTAGTCTGTTCTCCTCGAGCCTTTTTCCAGCGTGGACCTACTCAAGCTAACATTGCGCGACGAGATAGACAATGACTATGCATGCGTAACACATGTCCCAGTCACCTTATGAGATGAAGGTTCACAACCTCATCAGCTGACTTTCCTCCTCTTTCTAAAACTACATCTGACTTTTATATTACTGATGTGGTGATACCATGACCCGCAAACTATGCTACGAAGGCAACTGTGGTCTAGCACCTAAAACCTTCTCATGTCCTCTACCGTTTAATAGCCATTTTTCACATACATATAGTGGAACAAACCCAACTGCAGCGCAGCACACTTGCCCCTAATGGACAGTCGGATACCACGATGGCACCACAAACGACGTAATTTGGCGAAATCCAATAGAGCTTCTTGTATCCGTGCAGAGATTTCGTTGGCCACTGACCAACGCACCAAGTCCCAAGGTAAGTGGAGTGTTCAGTGCACTCAACTATTTCGCTCCCTATTGTTGGACAGGGCACCAGGGAAGACTAATTTTTGAACAACAATTTGCATTCGGGTGGTGAGGAATGCATCTCAATTTTTCTCAAAATGTCCAGGAGACTCTGCATCTTTTCGGAGTCCTTCACCTAGTGGGACTATCTTATCTGCCTACTCTAGATGTACTAAGGATTCTCTTGTGATAAGATCATTCCCTTTAAAGTCAGATGACGAAGAGTGATTTTTGAAACCAAGGAAGTATTTAGTCCTTTTAAGTATGCATACTAAATACTATCAACATAACTCTTATCAGAAAAGGAGAGAAAACGAAAGCTATGTGATATATATAAGTAGAAACTAGTAATACTAATGAAAATAATTTGAAACTTCTGGGTTGGTTTGACTTAATTTATACTATATAAATAATTCCCATATTATCGCATATTTAACTTCATAAGACCAAAGATGTAAGTTGATTCTTACTGTAACGTGTTCATTTGATCATATCCAGACTAAAATACTTTTTAAACAAAACACTACAGTTCAAACCTCTCTATTCTATCTATAGTTGAGGTTGAATTACGTAATCTTAACAAATTGTAACAAGATAGCTGATTGCAGACAACTGATAGAAGTCCCATGATCTCAAAGATAAAATCTCTGACTGTATCATAGAATTACACAGTTTTAAGTCACGGGGAAATAATAAACTTTTTATAACACATGTATATCGTTTTGCTGATTAGCAGGAAGTACGTGAAGCCTCATTTCACATTAGTTTCGCACCAACTCTCTCCAAGTGTTCAGTGAAAAAAGTGAATCACAGATACAAGCCGCCTGAATGATTTATCACAGCGCATTTAGCTTTTTTGTCGATGGGTAAACCCCAAAACTCCAGCAACCGCTTCATAGACGTAACCTTGACGTGTGCAATAAATCTTCACCGTAATTAATACAACTGGGATTTCGTTGAGATATTTGTTCTCTTTTTTATAGTTATGGGTACCGCTTGTGATAAGTGGTGAATAATTAATTGTGATCTACATATTTACTGTTATGACACTTAGTGAAAAAACTTATTTTATTTTACAGGAAATGTTTACGATTGGTCGGGAGAAAAGTAATGAATACACAATGAATCAAAGAGTTCCAGGTAAATTTTTAAATATTGCCTGTTGAAATTATACTATATGGTATGTGTAAAACGTTCACCAACTCATTGTATAGCCTTTAAATAACGTTTAGGATACCACCAATCCATTCATCCATCCAAATCAACATAGGACTAGACATTACTGCGTAACAGTCCGAGTTGCCACAGCTCATATCGGTACATCAAGTAAAAAGGCAGCGAAGTAGAAGATAACGACAAGAAAATTCAGTCAAAAGAAATATGAAATACTAAAATAGAGAAATGAAGAACGAGAAAATAGTGAGATTCGGTATAGCGTCGTTAAGATAAGGATAATGTGTGTGGGGATACATCTGTGGCACTGACATCGGTTCTGAACCATATCACCTAGTCTCGAAGCACTGGTGGTTTCTGTTGTCCCGCGGATCCCAACTGGCTAGTCTGCATCGCCCTGCATGACTGAAACCAACAGTCAACGACTTCATATATTGATGCCATGTTTTAGTCGCCTAGTCGTGTGTGGCCTTTTTCCAGCCTAAACCTATTTGGGCCAACATTGTGTGAGGAGGCAATCGGCGACTAGGCATATGTAACACATGTCCCAGCCAACCATCTCAGTCGACGAAGGTTCATAACCTGGTCAACTGACTTACCTCTACTCCCTAAAACTACACATATTTGACTTTTGAGTTAGTCACATGGTGACACCATGGAATAGGGCCTATAGTACGAAGGCGGTGATGGTCAAACACTTGGAGCCTTCAGTTCTTTGTCTGCTTCACTTAACTGTAGTATTCAGTAAGGTAAAGGACTCTGTGACCAAATAATCATTTTACTAACAAGATGTGTGTGTACAGGTTGACAAAATGGTGTTATTGTTTATAGCGAGTTAGGTTATGAGTTTTACAATCATGATGATATACTCAGAAGTTGAATATGTATACCGTTCAGTTTCACTTTTACGTCCTGAAAACAGTGTTATTGACATGTAAGTGAAACATATAAGTGTACAACTTGGTGGATAGAGTTCTATGCAGTTCTTGGGTATTGAGGAGAAAAGAGACTAATTTCTTTCTTATAATGAGTTTCCTATCAGATCATTTTATTTCGATTGTAATTAAGTGATTTTGAAGCTTATTCTTTTCACTGTTCTAATGTATTATAAGGGTTGGGTGAATTTGTTCAGCCTGTACTTATTTTGATATAGCAACAGTGAATTTCCAAGGATATCGTTTAATTTTTAAACTGTTAACGATATATAACAGGAATAAGAAATTCAGATTTCAAACCTACTCTAGGGTTAATTAGTTCCAAAAACTGAAGTTTGTTTAGTGTATGAATAGAGTTCCTCAGACTCTAGAATATTCTACCAAACATAGTAATAGCCTATATTATATACCATTCAGTTTTCGAGAAATATAACAAGGAATTACGTTTGTATTTTTTATCACTAAAAACTGTTCTGACGAAAAATTTGGAAACTATTTAAAGTTGTAATGATATTTTTTTTTTATCTCTTTTAAGCAGAGGTGAAGTTATTTTATTATTTAAATGATAATTTTTTTTATCATTGAAGGTGGATTAATTCCTAAAGGATTATCTGTAAATGATCTTGTTCAAAATATCAAGTCTTTTCGTGAAAAACGAGCTCAACTACCCAGCTATAAGTAAGTTAGTTTTAACTTGTACTATGCTTTACCAACTTATACCATTTTCATTTTCGATTTTTATGCTTATGTTTAATCTAATAAAAATATAGATGTAGGAAGTAGGTACATTTTAAGCATTAGTCATTCTTTAATTAATAATAATTATTAATAAGTAGCTAAAGGCTATTTAAATGACTCCAAAAATCCACTGAAGTTCAAGTAAAAATGTCTCACACATCGCAGTGTTTGCAGAGGGTTAAGTGAACAACTATTTTTGATATGCTGGTATAATGATCAACAATAACAAAACAAGTGTAGTAGTAAATTATAAGTGATATGTATTAAATTATCAGTTGTAGTTGCTACTACCTTAGAAGATGGGATAAAAAAGTGTGGAAATACTGCAACTCTCGTATCTTACAAGTATTTAAGCAGATTGTCTGTTGACTTTTTTGGAAAAACGAGTATTAACTCAAACTCATTAGGTGGGTACTGGGTTGGAGTCTAAATGGCAACGCTATTACAATGGGACGCAGGTACATCCTGCTGACCAGTCCCAAGAGAAAACGTGCATCCAGAATACCACTGTTGGTCACCAAGTAATGTAATGAGTATTCAGGCATTCTCATTTGACTATCTGAGATAGCCGTAGTTTGGCAGGCTAGTATTTATCCCGGGTGATAATTAAAGGTGAGATAAAAACCTGGACCGCGGCCGGATTCGAACCGGCGACGACCACCGGGTTACCGACTCGGTGCTCTACCAACTGATCTTCGAGGTCCAACTCCTGACCAGAATTTTATTTCACCTCAATCAAACGGTAGTAACGCGTCACTAATTCACATGGTAGCCGGGCAAAACCTCTGGCGTTTGAAGTGAAATAAGATTCTGGTCGGACCTCGTATTCAGGCAAAAATTAAGCGACAGTGTGTCCAATCACTAAGTTGAAATTTAAGTTATCAAAGCTATCAATTTACAAACAAGCTAATAAAATGAACTCATCATCCCCTGTTTCAGCAGTTTTTCTGTGAAGAATTCCAGAACTCCACTTCTTTTGTTGCATTCTTATGGTGAAGTATGTTTTAGGGATGTGTTCCTGAGTGTTATGTAACCGTATGAGTGATAACTTTTGGAACGTTCACAAGCTGATTATCGAAGCTTAGAGAACAAAAAACTAATGACAACCATTCTGATGTACGAATTTTGTTCCAAGTGATCACTAAATGGATTCTATAAAATGTTACTAATTCGTTGGATAATAAAGTGTGTTATTTATTCAGCCCATGCCTTTTTGATTCTTCCATATCCTGCGGCAATTCTTGTTACAAAAGTTTTAAATGTTTATTTATGTTTGTTTATTGCTTGTTTAGTAATCTAGTAGGTGCATCACAAGCTCGTTATCAACCTCCCTTAGTGCAAATGATGAAAGACTTGGTGACGGCTAGAGAAAATCCCAATGAAGCTGGCCCAGCGTTAAATGGTATAACACATAAACCATGCTCATCTTCATCAGGCAATTGGTTGGGGGAATTAAGGTATTCACTTAAAATGTCGTGCATTTTCCATTTTATATCACTCTCTTGATGTTATCTACTACTACCGTATTCGTCGTTTGATATATTGATTTTAACTTCGACTTAGATTGTTTCAGTGCTTGACAACAATACTTTACAGCTGGGAATATGGTTCATTGCATCTTAATCGTCCATTTTCAAATATTGTTTGAGTGCTGGTCAAACTCACTGCATCAAACCAGGTTACTACTTACTTTTCCAGTTACTCATGTCTGTTATTTCAACCCGCCGTACCTCACAGTATTATGCAAAGAACATGTGGATAGAAAAAAAAGTGATATAAAAAGATAAAGTTGTGTAAGAGAATAAACAATTTAAAGATAAAGGTTAGTGCGAATATTCAAGCATTAGATGTCAAGCAGTGAATACATTTGCGCCATTCTCACCGATTTTTAGCCATGTCACCAAGGGTCCTAAACTATTGATTCCTTTCGCTTCAAGTAGGTAGTCTACATCGCGCCACACAGCTGAGACTAATAGATATGGAGTTCACGGACTGGTACCACATCTTGGTTTTCCGACTGTGAACCCTCTTCCAACCTAATCTTGCTTCCCCTAGCACGTTACATCGATTTAGGTAGGTGGCTTGTTTGACATGCGCAGTACATGTCCTAGCCATCTCAGTCGGTAAGGGTTTACAATCTCGTAAATCGACCTGCCTGTTTCTCATAGTGCTCTTCGCCTGACCTCATCATAGCTCACATAGTGATTCCATCAAACATGGTAAATGCTACGTGGACATCTGTGATGAAAACCCAGTGATCGCTTCATATCTTCTACCTTTACTGGCTATGCGTCACAGCCGCATAACACGAGATAACCAACCTCATCTCAGTATAGTCGTCTTTTGATAGACAGCTAGATATCTCCCCGGTTGGAGCCATAGATTACTCTTAATAGCAAATACCGAACGGGTCTTGCGTTTCCGAGACGAGATTTCGTCAGCCACCACCCCGTTCGGTCTGATAGAACTCCCGAAGTGAGTGAAGTGGTCGGCATATTCCACGACTTCACTCCCTATCATTAAACTGGGAGTGCTTGGAGCAGACCAGTCGATGAGCATGATCTTACATTTGACAGGTACCAGCGAAACGCATGCCAAACATCTTCAGATTTCTGCTGAATGTGTTCACAAGACCTTGCACTTTGTTAGCATCTTCGTCTAGCAGGACAATATAGTCTTCATACACCGCCACCCAGATGACCTTCAGAAACTAGGTCAATCCCTGTTAAGTTAGACGTTCCTAACGACATATCTATTCGTACGTGTATAACGAAGTTAGACAGGAACAGTGGCAATGGATATCCTTGATGGACACCACTGGTTGTCAGTAATTTACGTGGCGACTCTCCATGAGCCTTACGCGGCTGCGTTAGTTCGATTCCATAGTTTTTATAAGCATTGTATGCTTTCTGGGAACTCGCTTGACAGTGGGACACTGCCACAACTACTCTCGGGCGACAGAATGAAATGTTGCCTTCAGGTTGGGAAATATAGTGTGTCGACGATTAGTCAGTTGGGATACCTGTATTCCAGGACCTGTCGTTGGTTAAAAATATGATGGGTGCACCCTCGTGCAGCTATGTCTGGAACCTGTCTGGTTTTTCTGAGTTTGCTTTTCTTGGGCTACAGTTAGGCGTCGGATAAATACGGATCCTAGGATCTTGGACACAACATTAGTCAAGTTAATTTCTCATAGTTGTCACAAGAAGATTTCTCTCTGTTCTTATATACGTCGATGATCAGTGAAGTAGACCATTCTGATAGGATTTACTCTGATTCTCATACACCATTTGGCGCCTCCATCCCTCTAATCACTAGTTTTCTAACTCCATCCTTAAAAACTTCAAGTGGCAAATTGTCAGGTCCTGTTCATTTCCAATGTCTCACTTTTGATGCACACTTCTCAACTTCAAGGAGAGTTGGAGGGCCAACATTTGCATTCGTGCTGAATGTTGGGCATCTGAAGCGTTGCTGCGAGCAAACTGAATTGTACTTCAAAGTCATCTACCCAACGCTTTAGCCATCTATCCTGGAAGGCAATCAGCGTTCCATCCTTTTTGGTCATGGTCTCACCAACAACCCTCTTCTTCTTGCCAGTATCCGTAATAAGCCTAAATAGTTGTCAAACGTTACCCAACACTGATGCCTTCTTTAACGCTCTCGTTTTCGCCACCCACCTCTACTCACGATCATTGCAAATACCCTTGGTCAACTTATATTTAAGTAGCTTGCGCTTTTCCTCGTTGTCAGAGCTAGCTGGAATCAGTCTTCTCGCACCAGTCATTTTAGATGATGTCGTGGAAATCCGATGACATTCACTGACCTTCAGGTTTAGGCTACCAACTGTTTCTATCGCTGTATCTACAGCCGACCTAATATCACGCCAGGTTTCCTCAGGATGAAGATTCCTGTCACGTGGAGATAAATGCGAGGTGAACTCTTCCCCATATGTAGGTTGGTGTTCTCGTTATCCAATCGACCATAGACAGGCTTTGGTTATCACCTTCCTGCAACCAGTAATTCGCAGAAATCCACGAGCCCGTAATAGCACATCATCTTAGTCGAAACTCGTGCTGCAGTAGGAGTGGAAATCTATCTGTGTCCATTGTTGGTCTGAAGTCGGTAGATGCCATGTGAGACAGCCTCTCAACTTATGCTTGAAGTTAGTGGTAGTCAGAAACAACTGTTTGTCTGAACAAATTGCTAGTGACGATGACCGCTGTCGACTCGTTCACATAGTATTGTGTAAATACGTCTCAGATGGCTTTCTGATTCTCTCACCTTCCCTACTTGAGCTTTGAAGTCACCTGCCATAATGATTACACGTGAATGTTTACTTTCTGTCGCAAAGTTGATCATTTTTCATATAATTCATTGTTTGCATCATCTGAACAGCATCAATCGAACAGCACACAGACGGCCGTTCACTGATATCCATTTATGAAGCGCACTTTCTGCTCTACAACTCAATGGTATGTCTGCACCAGGAAGTCGGCGAGAGCTAGTCATTGGGTCTCCGGATACTCGTAAGGGGAATTTTGAAGATCTACTATTGTGACGAAGTGAGATGAATTCGATAAGCAAACTCGGTTGCTGCGTATGTGTCTCAGGTACACAGCATACATCAATTTCTGGAGGGTCTGGATTTATGGCAAGCGATGCTTGTTATCCGATTCGGCATAGAGTTTAGAAATGATAAGTTCCTGCAGGAAATCCATAGCATATGGTATCTTAAGAGACTAGAAATTAGGTTTCGATGGCTTTGATTGTTGGTAATGATTGCAGAGTGAGGGATAGGAGAAGGGTTAAGAGGCTTAATATTAGTATCAGGAGGTGCAGGCAACGTGGGAGACAGAATTGAAGAGGATATGTTATGTTTGTTTTGGTCTTGTCTAATACCGGAGGCGTGTTGGCAGTTGACACTTCCTGGCCCCCTGCCGCGTAGAAGACGATCTTTTTAAAGGTGTCTGAATGAGAAAAAGCTTTATATGACCTCAAAGCTCATCGGAGATCTGCTTGAGACCTATCACACATGGCCTTTCGCGGGATGTTGTTTCGAGGTTTGGTTGTTCTAACGCCGGATAAAGATTACCCATACCACTGGCATCGATAGACCGTGGGGCGTGGTGTAGTGTTATTTTTGGGCCGACTTTTTCTAACCGCTTCCTTCCACTGAGAAGACAGTATCGGCGTGGCACTGCTGTTCATGCAAGGGAAACACTTTATTATTGTCACATGCCGTCCAACTAGCAGCAGTATGACTTTGCCCTCAGACCCCCATCATAGTGCAGTAATTTACACTACACCGATGACTGCTTTTCGTCTAATCGCTAACTGGTAGACCCTTCTAGCATGGAGGACCTCGAGAGAACAAATATTCAAGTAGGTGTGCTCGTCGGGTCATTGCGATATCCAAGACCTACGCCCACGTCAGGGTATCAGCTATCGGCCGGCTGAGGATATAGCATGGTATATTCTGAAGAAGGAGAGACGTCTTAGATATGTGGTAACCTCAGGCTGTACGGTAACTGAAACCACTTCATATTTGAATTATTTTCCCACTAGTGTGATATTCAACCTCGACCACCACCCCATGGTATCAGCTATCGGCTGGGGGAAGGTTCCGTGGGTTATTAGTACTCTTGAATCAGGTATGAAGCAGTAATTATCTCTCCAGTTACTGCGTAAATGCATGTTCGCCTTAATCATCTTTTAGCTTATCTTCAGTAGCTTTTCTAGCCATAGCATTCTCGTGACCAATCAGCTACATATAGATGCTTGCTGTAATTTACATGTAATCAGAGTTCGGGCACTATTTCCGCCGGTCGTTATAGCGTCTTCTGCAAGCGATTACCATTATTCGTTAACTTGCCTTTAGTCTTTCACACATAAATCTCCCCTTCATGAATTTGAATAAAGTGCAGTGACTGGAGCAGAATAGGATCGTGTCATTTTATTTCGCTGGTTTCTCGTCACCTGCTTACAACCTTAATCATCTAAATATCATGTTCTACAAGAATTTGAAGTTACTTTTTACAATGAAATGAAGTTAGTTAACAATCATTAACATATGATATAGAATACAAACATCTGGATAAATAGTAGGTTGTCAGGTCAACGAAAAAGTGATCTATGGTTCTATTTAAAATCATAAATCCGTTTTCAAACGTTAGATTGCTACAGCCTCAGAGAACGTTATATGGATCAAGTTACTCTGTTTATTGATTACCTTGAAGGATTCCAAGGTATCCGTTTCATGTCGTGTGTAGATAAGATACTAAGCGACAGCACTATAGGTACATGTTCAAAGAATTTAAGGTAAACAGAAGGAAACTTGTCGACTTCTGATTTTACCGAGGAGCCTATTATTCTATAGAGAAGTGTTAATTTGACTACAAGATATGTATATAGTTTTCGCCTAAACCACTTTCTGATGTCGTCAACTTGCAAGTCAGCTAAAAATATACAAGTGGTATTCACAGTTTTTACCATATGGAGTATGTCTAATAGACTGTGCTTTATTGCATAATCCAAATTTTGTTATAGAACGTCTTCCACATTTTATATGTTTCTTTTTTTGACAGTCGATTCATTCGAATTCCTGGTGGTGGAAATGAGAAATTTCTCCCGTATAAAACTGATTATATCATTCTCATTTTTATGGGTAATGGTTTATCGTTTTCATTGTGCCGTGAACTCTTTGAAATTGTTTCATCTCATTCTACAAAAAAACCAAACCATATGTTCAAAGTAAGTAAACCCTATAACTTCATATTTTATATCATAATACTTGCCGAAAATGTTTAAGATGATTAGAAAAGGATGTTAGAAAACGTGTTGTCCAGAAATTCTAATGAATGTTTGAAAAACATCTGAGCAAGTGTTAAGTCATAACTACACCTACCATAATTCTCTGCTTTACTTCTGTGTATTTTCTGACGAAAACCCACCAAAAACAAAATTATCAGCCTATCTATCAGAATTATTTGATCAGTTATGGTTTGTGATAAATTGGTTGGTTGTGGCTAGCAGAAGAATCCAGGACGCGCGTTTCGTCCTATTTGGGACTCGTCAGCTGAATGTACCTGCACCCCAGTGATGTTGTTCCCACTGAGACTCGAACCTCGTACGCATCGCTTCAAATGCCGAGGCGTTATCAGTTATGCCAAGGAGGAATGATAGCCAATTTTGTACAACGGGTAGTAGTTATTACTATTTATTGACATACTTGTTATTCTCCGTTGTTTTGTTGGGTCGAATTGTTCGACCTCTGTTGGCATATGGGCTCCTATGTGGATACCTCGATATTGCTTGAATGTTAATTATGATAAATTGGTTGTTTGATCATTGGATTTATTGGTTATTAGTTTAATGATCTGCTATAAATTTATCGATTTAAATATAATAAGAGAAGCCTATCGAAAAAAGTCTTAGTTTATTCCGATGTTTTTTTGTGGTACTTTAAACAATGAAATCTAATAGATCCTCTTTGAAAGAATGCATTGATGAAATCATAGTGAAATAAAATATTGGCATGAATTAAACAAGAGAACAGATAAGCATAGGAAGATTTTAAAACAATTAGAGTTTTGAGTGGTATCACCTAATATCTTTATTCAAGAGCTTCTTAAATTTCTCAAGAATTTAACCAAGATGATACACTTGGATTAAACTAGTATTTGTTTTCAATGATTGATGTTACTTAATTCGACTACTATAGAACTTCGTTCAGTGTAATTCTGTTTCTTATAAAAGAGAGTGTAGACGTAATTTATAGTTGGGCATAAATAATACATCCTGAAATCATTTCGATTTGGCAATCTTATTAACTAATTTACTTCTTGCCCTTAAACTGTTAAACTTTAGGACAAAGTTACACGATAATTTCCTACATTGTCTTTACGGACAACTTACGTAGTTATTTATTTGAGGATTTATTGACAACGTATTGTGTCCTATTATTTAATTAGTGCTTCTTTTTTCCTATTTCACTAACAACTGTGTAGCGCATCTGTGTAGAGATAAAACGATCTCTTTCATCAGATAGACTGTGTAATTATGATCCCACTGTTTGTTGAACATTTTTATGTCGTAATGCTCTGTGGGTTTAGTCCCTATAACTTTATTATAATTCCATTATTATTACCAATATGATTATTACTGTAAGTATATAACTTCGTAAATGAACTTTTTAATATATATTTTAGCTGAAAATTGTTACGAGTGGATTCATTGGTGGACGTTCAGGCATTTCCAGTTATTTAAATGTTAATATGTAACTTTGATTTTTGTTAAAATTTTAATGTTTTGGTACTTTCACGTATACTTTGTTTTGTATTCACCTCATGTTCACAACTGTTGAATGATTTTGATATTTTTCTGTGAAAAAAGTTCGTTTATTTAGCAAATATGGCTTCTGTGATTTTGTGTAATGGAATATGTACATATAATTATTATTATTATTATTAGTCCCTTGGGTTCCTAGTGGAACATAGGGCTTCAGTAGCACGCCTCCAGTGACCTCTGTTCTCTGAGATCTATTGAACCTGGTTCCACGACAGCCCACAAGCTCTCATTTCCTCCTCGCACGACCTTCTCCATGTCAACCTCGGACGTCCAACTCGTCGCTTCCCGTGGGGATTCCACTCGAGTACCTGGCCTAACGCGTGATGTCCTCAGTCGGCCTTCTCAGTGCATGGCCAATCCATCTCCACTTCTTCCTGCATATTTGTTGCGTGATAGGTTCTTGGTTGGTTCGTTTCCAGAGTTCCTTGTTGCTTATTCTTTCTGGCCATCTGATCTTCAGTAGCGAGCCAGCGTAAGCAGTTGTTGATGAGTGTCTGTAGTTTATTGGAAATGCCTTTCGTGACGCGCCAAGTCTCTGAGCCATACAAGAGCACTGACTTGACGTTGGTGTTGAAAATCCGTATCTTGTTCCACATGCTGAGTGCAGAAGATCTCCACACTGTTTTCAGGCTAATGAAGGCCTGTCTTGCTTTTCCGATTCTGACTTTGACGTCTTCGTCCGTCCCGCCTGTAGTTGAAACAGTGCTTCCTAGATAAGTGAAGGAGGTTACTTCCTTTAAGTTTCTCCCGTTCATATAAACGAGATATAAAAATGGTTTCATGATTGTTGAACTTCAAGATAAAAGTCAACATTCGATACAGTCTGTACATGTTTAAATTTCAATCTGTTTGAAAAAAATTGTAGCTTTTCACCTGAAAGTTTTAATTGAATCTTTCTTTGTAAGATAATTAAAATAAAACTAATCATATATATCTCTGTGAAAGTTATGATCAGTAAACGATGCACTGACCACTTCAAGAAGCTCTTGAATTGACCACCACCTGCAGCCCACCATCAGAACTACCAGTGAACACAAGCCCTCCGACAAAAGTCGAAGTTCTGAACGCCATAAGGTCTCTGAAGTGCGGGAAAGCATCAGGACCAGATGTAACCCCGCCAGAATCACTGACAACAGACGCAGGGACAATAGCGGACATGCTCAAACCACTATTACAGAAGATCCGGAAGGAAGGAAAGCTACCTGCCAATTGATTGGAAGAAAGGTTACCCCGTCAAACTCTCGAACAAGGGAGACCCAAGTCTTTGCCCTAACTAGCACAGAATCATGTTCCTGTCCACCCCAAGCAGAATATTATGCCGCATCATCCTGGAGAGACCAAAGAATGTGTTGAATTCAAAACTACGATCGCAACAGGCTCGCTGGATTAAAGAAGTACAAATCATGTGCGGAGCAAATTGCAACGCCACTCTACGCATAATCATAGGACAGAGTATAGAATGGCAGTCAACTGAACTGTGCCTCAACTTCATTAGCTTTGAGAAAAGGCCTTCGACAACGTTGACTGACAAGTAATTTGGCAGTTGCTTCAACACTATGGAATACGACAAACCTTTAATAATCTCATTCAACAAATTAATGAAGACGCCACATGCCAAGTAATTCACAATGGGAAGCTCAGTGACGACTCTGAAGTGAAGTGAATACGAGAGTAAGCCAAGGCTCTGTACTATCACGCATGATCTTCCTGATTAAAGTGGACTGAACTCGATTATGCAACAAACAGTGAAGTGGCTACCAGTGTAATTCACATCGTGCGTTTCGTCCTACTTGGAACTCGTTAGGTGGATGCGCCTACACTCCAATGAGTGATGTTATTCCCATTGAGACTGGAATCCAGAACCAGTGCTTCAAACGCCGGAGTGTTATCCCCTTGGTTACTGAGGCACGAAATCTACCTATCATTATAGGATATTAGTTGTTATCAGTTATTGATATTTGTGATTTTCTGTTGTTTTACCGGATCGAATTGACCGATTGTTTTTGCCGTGTGGACTCATATGCAGATGCATCAGTATTTCCTGAAGAATCACTATGAATTTTCTTCGTAATCCATTGGTGAGGGGTATTTATGACGTTAAGATAGGTCGTCTTTCTTCGGAAACTCAAACCTGAATTCATGTTTCGTTGTAACACTGAATAAAGTAGTGAATGGTAATGGTAACTCATCCCACTAAGATGCACTTTCAAGTCCGACTCAACTTTATTAGATCTGTCGTGTGCTTAGTCACTTCGAAGTAATAAAACGTTTTGATGAACAAATCGAAGTAGGATACAACAGTTCAAAGTAGTCGAAAAACTATTGTAAGTAGAAAGTGTGATAAGGTAGTAGTGTAAAAACCTCTCTGTTATACAAGTAAACGAAAAACACTGCACGCAGATCAGTTAAAACCTTTCTTATGTATATCTTATCACATAATTAATATTGGAGAACATTGCTTCATTGGGCCACAGTCTCAATCATACTAACGCTCAAAAGCAGTAAATCACCCTTGTTAATTATTTGGAAATGGATTTATTGTGGCGGTCAACTTCAGAATCACTGGGATCGTTATAATTGACTTAGTTTTCCCTTGAGACCAATCTTCATTGTAAACCAATATGACATATGGGACGATAAAGATTTACATCAGATTTCGATTAAGTGCGGATATTGTTCACCATGTTAACAATCAAAGAGAGATAACACGGCTAGCCAACATCAAAACAAGGTTTCTAGGAAAAAATGCATTCACATTCGACGTCGTGATTCCTTCGAAGTTACAGTTTAGAAATATATATCCGATGAATTTCGTGTAAGATTAGTAATATACTAATTTGTTGGGAAAAATGAACTTCCACAATCGGGAAGTTACATAGAACAGGCACAACAAATTTTAGAGTCTTTGCAATACAAATAATTTTGATAGAGCTACGGGTTCTAGTGTCTACTATCACCCATGATCCTCTTGATTGTGGTGGACTGAACTGGATGATGCAACAAACAGTGAGGAGCGAGAAGAGGGGCATACGCTGGCTGGACAGGGGAAAATAACCTAGAAGATTTAGATTTCGCCGATGACTTGTGTCCAATGTCTTGTAGCACAAAGTTGAAGATCTAGAGGCGAAAAGTAACAAGTTGACAGAAGAGGCGGGGTGGGGCAGGGCAGTGAAGACGGGACTTCAAGTGAACGTGGAGAAGACAGAGGTGATGAAGATAACCAACCAACACCACTACCACTAACAACAACAACAACAAGCTCCAATCACCATGAACGGGAGAAACTTAAAGGAAGTAGCCTCTTTGACCTACCTGTCTGGGCAGCATCGTTTCAAATACAGGTGTCAGAGATGAGGATATCAAAGCCAGGATGAGAAAGACTGCAAGACAGGCGTTCATTAATCTGAAACCAATGTGGAGATCTACTGCATTCAGCGTAAAGCGTGAACAAGATCCGGATTCTCAACACCAATGTCAAGTCAGTGCTTCTGTGGGTTGGTTGAGAGACTTGGCGCGTTACGAAAAGCACATCCAACAAACTACAGATATCATACATCAACAGCTGCCACCCTCGCTCACTCCATACTAATACTGAAGATGGCCAGGATAATAAGAATAAGCAACAAGGAACTCATTGAGGCTGTCAACGAACCAACCAACAACCTATTGCTCAACAAATATGCACTGGAAGGAAGTTGAGATGGATTGGATCAGGCATGCACTGAGAAGACCATTTGGAGACATCACGCGCCAGGTCAGGCTCTCGAGTGGAACCCAGATGGGAAACGGCGAGTTGGGCGTCCCAGCTGAGAGTGATATGGAGGAGATCGTGTGAGGGAGAAATGAGAGGTTGTGAGCTGTCGTGGAGCCAGGTTGGAAAGATTGAAGAGAAGAGAGTGGAATGGAGACGTGCTAGTGAAGCTGTATGTTCCGCTGGTAATTCAAGGAACAAATAAATAATAAAATCATAAATAAAATATATGATCAAACTTTCGGCGAAAAGTTGGAATTATTTTATTTCATACATCCTGAGATTTGCATAAATATATATCTAAGGGGTGGAAATGTTTCCGATTACCTTGTTTTTTTATCATTAAATCTATGCTGAATGAATGGGGACTGTAAGTACTCCAAATAGCTTTGATAAGAAACTATGACTGTTAATCACAGTTAACCAGCTAGTTTTGTATGCTGTACAAGTGTGATTTAATTTTTTTGTGATAAACAGGTAGAAAATAAAGTTCATTTTGCAAATGAAAATTATCTTTTTATTGATACAGTATGAAATTCTCAACATGTAATATTTTAACAAACCTACTTCCTGTATTAATATTGTTATTACTTCCCCCTTGGGCTCCTAGTAGAACATAGGGCTTCAGTAGCACGTCACATCCCCCTCTTTTCTCTCTAGTCTTTTCAACCTGGCTCCATCACCACTGCCAAGTAGCTTTCATTTCCTCCTCACATGATCTCCTCTATGTCACCCTCACCTAGGACGCACAACTTGTCGTTTCCCGACTGAGTTCCACTCGAGTGCCTTGCACATGATGTCCCCAAAGTGTCTTCTCAGTGTGTTCCCAATCCGTCTCCACTTTCTTCGACATATCTGTTGAGTGATGGGTTCTCGATTGGTTGGTTCGTTGCCAGCTACAGTGACTTCCTCTTTGCTTATTCTTATTACTCTGGTTATCTGATCTTCATCTTCACTATCAGTATCGAGTGAGCGTAAGTGTCAGCTGTTGATGTATGATGTCCGTAGTTTGTTGGAAATGCTTTTCGTGATGTGCTAAGTCTCTAAACCATCACATAGAAGCACTGACTTGACTGAATAGGTGTTGAAGATCCGGAACTTTTTTATGCTGAGTACAGTGCAGTTCAGTAGATCTCCACACTGATTATTTTAGAGTAATGAAGGCCTATCCTGACTTCGACG